ACAAAAGCGCAGTTAACGGACAAGAACGATTTCACTCTACACTTTCAGACTTTATGACAAATCAATCTACGATTATAATTACAGTATTCATTCAACAACTAATAAGCGACCATTAAATTTGTTTTTTTTTTTTTTAGAAACCATAGTAAAAAAACCATAGTAAAAAACGCAACGAAATACGCACTTACACACCAGGTGAAGAAACATATGTCAAAATCAATAACAGACTAGGAACAAAATTCTCACCTAGATACAGAAAATAAATAGTTAAAAATGACAAAAATACAACTTTACTAACAACAACGGAAAAACAATACTCAGGAGCAATATACATATATAATCTAAAACTTTTACAGGCTAATTTTCACGATGACAGTAACACTGACTGAAGGGCACATAGCCATATCAAACTACACCGATGCGCAAGCTGTTAACAAAATAAAAGAAATAGGAACAACAACACGAATAGTACAGGTTATAGAATTAACGCAAATTATAGAAGCATTAGACACCTTCTCGCTCCTCACAGAACAAGATCTTAAAGCAAACCCTTTATACCACACTTTACACCATGAAAGAGCACAGACAATGTTTACATTTAGCACAATAGTAGAATTCCAGAAACGTCATACTAGAGCAATCAATATGTTAGGCACAGCATGGAAATATCTAGCAGGTACCCCGGATAATGACGACCTAGTTATGCTATCGGACAACATAAATAAACTGATAGATAACAACGACCAACAATTAACAATAAATAAACAACTGGAAGTAAGAATCAATAGATTGACAAAACTTTCTAACGATCAAGCTAATAGCATAAAGAAGATTCACTTGTTGGAGACGAATTAGCCGTTAGCTTCCAAAACCAAATCAGGCTGATAAAGGAAGAAATATTTAACATTAAATATGCCATACAGTGGGCGAAATTAAAACTAATAAATACATTTTTACTGAGAAAAAAAGAAATACAAATAATTAGTAATAAATTTAAAAAAAGTAACATGCCACCATTAAATACCGAAGAAATGTTAGAATACGCAGATGTTCCCATTTTGGATAATGGAACTACACTTTTGTTCCAACTTAGAAGAAATAGATTGTAAAAATTCAATTCTGAAACCCGTAATAAAAAACAATAGTATTATTAATCTCGAATATAACAAAATATTTCAATGTAAGAACTACAATAAAATACCAATTTGCGATAAGACAGCAATTTTCAGTTTAACTATAGATAGTTGCATTTCTAAGATAATCACGTCCCGGAACTAGAAGAAATCGACGAGGGACTAATCCTATTAAACGGCTTTAACGGAACCATAGAATGGCAGAAAGAAACAAAAAATTAAGAGACACGTAGTTGTTAAGCTTTTTGAACGAGACAAAAGTTCTCAACAGGAAAATATTCAGTAATATCGAGATTTCGATAATGAAACCTGGACGTCCGATAATACATGTAACACCGATGGAGAGCGAACGTATAAGAATTCCCTCATTGGAGGCACTCGAAGAATTTCATGTTAACAATAGCAAAGTCATGCAAAAGATCCAGGTGCACTCAACAATCAATAGAATAGCACTTGTCTCTCTGTTTATAACCGCCATCCTCATCAGCATCTTACTACACTTGATGATAAGGAAAAAGGGAAGAAAGGTCATCCTACAACTTAACCAGAAAGAGACTTGCATTAAAAACAATGTTACACCGACATTGCCGCCGTCGCTGCCGTTAACCCACAGCTTGTTAGGGATAGATTTAATTTAAGTTGATAAGTAGCATATTTGACATAAATTAAAGAACACACTTTCTAAAAGAACAAGCCTCCGAAGTCGAAATTTCTTTTTTACTAGTTATAATTAACAAGTTATTAACTTACATATATATAAATATAGTAGAATATAGAAGATATATTATCTCTAATATTTACTTTTATAATATTACTACTTTATATTTTTTTATTCTAATTGCGTCCCCTAGATCAAGTTATACAGTTAGATGTCCCTTAATCAACCTTTTTTCTGGAGCGTGATAATTTAATTTGATAATTTTGATTCGTGTTCACGTTGAGGCAATTAAAACATTTCTCACTCTCGATTTCTCAATGTTTAAGGAAGAGACCCCTATTGATTTATTACTTCGTTTTCAAAATTACACGATCAAAACAATAAGAGTCGAGGCAATCGTTAATTTTTATGGTTCTAGAATATTTGAAATTGGTGCTATAACATTTCAATGCTCTATTGGTACGTTACATGTCGAGAATTACAGTTCTTTTCAGTGTTATATAAGACACTTATGTTTTAAAAATACACAAAGTATTTGTTAGCTTAGTCAAAATGCAAACTCTATCACAAATTGGAAATATTTGAAACTGAATTTAAATTTAAAGAATTTGTGGAAATTTGGAGCTGTTATCCAAAATATAACAATTTAAATTGTAGAAAATATACGTACAACTGAGCACAATATTTGGAAACTCAAGCTCTCAATTCAAGTGTACGACGCATAATTTAATAGCTGAATTTCGATCAAGCTTTCAATCGAAAATAATTAAACGGAAACAGTTACCGATTTTGTGAAACAAGTTTTATATAATGTCTCCGGGTTTTAGAAATTTTACAGACGCACAGGCAGGGCTATATACTTTAAGGGACTTGCCACACTTTCTTCTGCCTGTTACACACATTTTAACAAAACTATTATCCGCTCAGAAAGTTGTATAAAATATAGAAGTTAACTACACCAAGTTACACCAAATGAGCTGTGGGTAACACAGCAACAATGTTAGTGCACTGATCCCCAAGCGGTTTCCGGCACGTGAGCTGCTTCAGAATTTCGACGGAATCGAATCGAAAGCATACAGGGACAGCGGCAGTGACAACAACAGCGGCACCGTCTGCGGTAGCGACAAAAATGCAGTGGCAGCGGCGACCCATAATACTAATCTATATCTTATACTGTATCTTTTTCATAGTTCAGTTAAATTTTATTAAATATACCGGCCAGTTGGCTTTTCATAAAAAAATCACAGTATGGTTTTTATTAATTGGAGCCCGAGCAAGGAACCGCGGAATTGCGCGTTAGTAAAGGATCGCGCTCAACAGTTAGATCGTGCCTTATCGCCACGCGTTGTACGCTTATTATTGCCTGGTGCAATAACTATCGCCGACCTCCTCTGTAGTGTCAGCCCGCAGAGGCCCGAGTCACCTGACACAGGACAAAATGGATAAGCTTGAGGAGCCAATGCAAGACAAGGAATTAGCTAACTTAAGATAGGCGCCTGATCAAAAAAACATTAGGAAAAGGAGACATCTTCTATGTCACACGTATTATAAGTTTGTACGAAGGTAGAGAATAACACTAGCAATTCGTAACAAAGTTATTGGCGAAGCTGACATAGTCCTGGAACCATATAATACGCCTCTGAACTGGAAGGCCATAACTATATTCATCCCCACCTAACCAAAAATGCTAAATAAATGAAAATAAATTCTTCGTTAATTCTGTCGGTGGTAAACACGTCCCTTTAAAGTTTTTGTACTACGAACTCTAAAAACCTTCCCCGGTATCCTTGGAAACGATGCCTTAAAAGAATTCAATGCAGTAATAAACGTCAAAGACAATGCAGTGATGTTAGAAGACAGTAAGAAGCTCCATTTCGATCAGCTAAATACCCGATCAGTAAATAATATAAAAGTTAGAACGGAACCTATGACTCCGACCCAAATCGAGCACTTAGATTCCCTCACGCAAAAACATCCAAATCTTTTCGCAGACCCGGACAAAAAACTGACTACACTACAGTAAACACTATCCCTACCCGGCCTCGCTTAGATCAGAAGTAGAAAAACAGATGCAACTATTGCTACAAGATGGCATTATCAGACCTTCACGGTCACCTTACAACGCACCAGTATGGATAGTACCAAAAAAAAGCGACGGCTCCGGAGAGTGAAAGTTCAGAGTTGTAATAGCCTACCGGAAACTTAATTCGATAACAATTTCGGATAGATACCCTATCCCCGAGATCGGTGAGATAACAGCATTGTAAAGACATTATTTCAGCAGCTGAAAACGATCCAGATTTTCTTGATTCAATCGTAACTGGTGATAACACATGGTGCTTTAAATATGACCCTGAAACTAAGCGTTAATCTGCAAAATGGAAGAAAGGCGAGTCAAAACTAAACAAAATTGCGTTTTCAGAACTCCAGAATTACGGCAATGTTTATCACGTTTTACGATTCGAATGGTATTGTACACAAGGAATTTATTCCAAAAAGTAAAATTTTTAGTGGAGAATACTATTTACAAGCTTTACATCGTTTGTGGTCAAGAATTGTTCCTGTTAGATCTGAATTTTTATGAAATTTTATTGCATGATAATGCACCTCCTCACAAAACCAAAAAAGTTCGTGAATTTAAATGAAAAAATAGATTCCGTATTCTCCTGATCTATCACCATGTGGCTATTTTCTGTTTTCTAAACTGAAAACTGCCATGAAAGGAGCGTTTTACGATAATATTCGAGTCATTCAAGCAGCCGTGACCGATGACATGATGACATGAAAGTAAATTACTTGATCGTTCTAAAGCTTGATTTAAGTTGAATTGCGACTATTTCGAATAAAAAATAACTTTTAAACATAGTACGAAACGTATTTTATTCTATATTTTAAAATTCCCTTATTTATTGAACACATTGTGTATGTGACTTCTGAATGGGAATAGCAACTCTATTGTTCACATTATTTTCATAACATTATCAAACGAAACAGACAATATTTGTTAAAGTTTGTTTTGAGTTTCTAATTGCAAACTGTAGAATATACGGTTTTTTCTGATTTTCCAAGCCCAATGTGGAGTATATATATAATTTTTGGCCACTCCTTAAGAGTCTACAGTAACGTAACTGTCAAATATAAATTAGTATCTAATACAACTTGTCGTTGGGACAACAATTTTTAAAACCAGAAATGCTTATATTACTTACTATAAGATCACCTTTACATATGCTGTTGTCCGTGTAAAATACAAGAAGTTCGGCCGATAGCGCTCGACAGCTGGGCTCCCGTAGTTTTGAAGCAAGTAATAAACAGGCTGCTGCTAAAGTTTGTAGATGAGTTTTTCGCACCGATTTTGTTGACAAAAAGCGATCCATGTAGTTAATTGCTAGTAAAACTACCTCCTCTTGACATTTTTCCTCAACACACACCTAAATGATAAATAAAGATGGTTAATTGGATAATGTTTGAGATATTTAACCGTAATATTTATTACATATAATGGTAGTTTTTCTTTCACAATAATATATTTTGCAGTCACATATAAGATGTACAAAAAAAAGGCCGTAAATTTCCGTTAGGAATTTGAACTAACTTTCCGCTATTTTATTAGCTGGCACCTTGATCAAATAGATTTTGGGTTACTATTCACTTTCAATATGCATGCACCAAAAAAATTATACGTTCATTTACGGGCGTAGCATATCGAAAATAGATTGTAACTTTCAGTTTTCATAAGTTCATTAGTATAGACTACAATGCTATTTTAATTTACCAAACATTACATATATACGCGTCTTGAAGACGTAGAAAAACGGAAAAACATATCATCCATATATTTGTAACACGCACTACAATGGGTACTCTACAAGGGAGTGCCCACTGAATCTACAATATATCTAGTTGAACACACAGGATATTAGCGTTAGAACATTTCAATGCTCCATTTTGAGCGATAGAATTTCAATATAAGAAACTGTTATGTATAGATTGACCAAATATTATACACTTTTTTATGCCCCTTATGAGCAAGACGAATAACGCAATTAACAAATATTCAGAAAAATATTCTAAAGAAAATAATCCCAAATATTGATGACACTACATGTGTTGTGTGGTATGTGAAATTTTTTACGAAATTTCCAATTTCTGGATGAGGGTTCTAATCGAGCTCAACTCTGCAAGCCAGCCAAACCAGGCACAGTCAAAATGAACAAGTGTAAAAGTCATGCCCGCTACTTGACCATTCAAAGAGTTGTACTAAATGTAAGTGCATTGTTGGCATGCTTATAGTTGGCTTGTCTATCAAGCAACGATAGGCCTTTGCAAAAGACAAAAATTATGCTTCAATTGCTTGAAACTTGGCCATGGAGTAAGTGGTTTTGCATCGAAGTCGTTCTGCAACCATTACAATCGCCGATCGTTCATTATTGCATTTCGTCGGATATACACCACAACACAAAGGTGAAGTATCGCAATAATTAATAATAATAATTTAATTGATTTCATAATGTATAATTAAGTATTTATCACTCACTGTCAATGAACAACAAAAGAATATTTTACATTAATAAATTAAGTATAATAAAAAAAATAAGTAAGAAGAAAAAAATAAGTAATCGACAAAGAGTACCCTGTCCCAAGTTCCATCTGCGCTTTTTAATATTTTGCAAAACTAACATCTAACATAAAAATCACGTAAATCAGAGAGGACTCGAACCTACGCAACGCTCATCATCCTTGTGTTGGTACGTCACTTTATATTTAAAAACTAAACAAATTATTTGTCGGATTTGTAAAAATGCAAACTCTCACATATTGGATATATTTTAAATTGAACTTAAATTTAAAGAATTTGGGGTAATTTGGAGCTGTTATCCAAAATAAAACGAAAATGAAAATTGTAGAAAATATACATACAACTAATTACAATATTTGGAAACTCATGCACTTAAGCCATACGAGGCATAATTTATTAGCTGCATTTTGATCATGTTTTCCATCAGTTATCGATTATTATCGAAACAAGCTTGATATGCTATAGAAGTCTCTGACTTTTATAAGTGCAGATATTTGACAGACACAGTCAGACAGACGGACAGGTCTAAATCGACTCAGCTTGTCTGCCTGATCAAGATATATATACTTTATGGGATTTGCCACGCCTTCATCCCATTATATATATTTTAATCAAACTATTATACCCCCAGAAAGGTGTACAAAATATATATAAAAACAAAATTCAAAAATTAAAGATTCTAGCTCCAAAGACGACGTACGAGATATAATCGGATGACTGAATTTCGATTACGTTCTTAATCGATAACATTACAAAAATCGTTATAAATTAATTATTAATGACTTGAAGAAAAGTCTGACACACGTCTTTTTGCTGGTTTCATATTATTTAACAAAACCGTTTCACTATGATTAGCCAATTTCAAAAGGTTCAAATGAAAAATGCAGTAACTTTTGAACTATTTGTGTGCAAATGTGCCTTTTTAATCGGAATATCAACTCTATTAAGATTATTTCATTACATTTACAAACGAAAAAGACAATATTTATTAAGTTCCCAATCCCTATTTTCCTATTGTCATGATATCGATTCAAATCAGTATCGATGTTTAGCCATTAAATTATTTCTATCTTATATCACATATTCAAAGCTAGAGTCCAATCTCCCATGTATTGATATATTTTATATATTTTTTTATACTTTGACAACCCGCCTAAAATTTTTCAATCAATCAATTGCATTTCTTGCGGTATTCCACTTATTTAATAAAATATGGAACTATTAAAGCAATTAAGAAGCTGTAATCGGGGGTGCCCCAGTAAGAGGTACCCCGAATCCCAAACATCACACGAACGGACCGACACAGAAATGGACCGAGGTAGATCGTTATTCTGATCAAGATGTATACTTTATGGAGTCTGATACTCCTTGCCTTCTGCCTGATACAATCATTAATATACCCCGACTTTCCATATTCGACGGTAATGTATGTATTGTTAAATCTACTCACTTCCATCATCCATTGAGCTACAATTTTCCGCATAGCAGGAGTAATGTCCTTTTGCACAGTATTAAAATGTGTTCCAAGGATCTGTTCATGATTTTCTTCCGATTTTAACGCATTTTTTAAACATCGGTCTGTTTTAAAAATAGGATCAGTAACGATCATATGCGCATTTTCATAAGCAAAATGTTTATCGTCTGCCTCATCTGTCCCCTTTTTTACTGCTGTGCACATCCAGCTGGTGTTGATATTACATTGCCGATGAGGACAAAGTTTAGACAGTATTTGACAACTGGTTGACTTTCTCTGTTGAGGTTGTTTTGTAGATTTGGTTGCACTTATAGGAGTTGCAACTGAAGATAATACATACATTAGATTACTCATATTGCAAGCGATAGGTACGTTGACACTCTCAGCAGGGTCCCTTTTGACTATAGCACTCCCTGAAGTGCTACATTTTTTGATAGTAGAGAAGCATGCTGATGAACAAGATATAGACTCGCTAAAAGAATTGTACTTGATTTTAGGTTTTGTAATATTTTTAACAGCAGGTGCTTGTTTTTTATACCTATATAATGATAGTTCGGAATGAGTTACTATGCTTTCAGTACACAGTAAATCCATATTTTATCCACGCTGATCCACTTATTGACTTATGTATGTTTTGTATTTATTGTTTTTTAATTATGTCTGATTTTTTTGTGATCAAATTGCATACACGTGAACATATGCACGTCTGTAAGCAGAAAGAATTATAAATAATTATTTAGACGATGTTCGAGAAAAAACCATTATAGTCACATATATTAAAATGTATATCGAAAATCTTTGTATTTGCCGTAATTAAGCACACGTGTTAAAATATATAACTTCCACAACACAACTCATGCTTGTATTTATAAAATACAATTTAAGGAAGAACATTAAGCATGTGTATATATTTATATATTTATTAGTTAAATTTAATATACATATACAAACGTTATTTGACTTATTTTTTTACATTATTTTAAGTCAAATATGTTGACGTATCGATGTAGACATGTATAATCGCAAATACATATTTTTAAATTTAAACACAAACCTAACATTCAAATGGGTACATTCTCGAATTATTTTTACATTAGCATACATAAACATCCCACATTTTCAGCTATAGGTAGTTTTTTACCGGCAAATAAAACGGATATACATATCTAAAGGCCTAATATTGTAAGACATATAAAATTGGTGCGATAAATATCAAAGACTGGTTAAACACAACAATATTATTTATACTATACCAGGGCTGCAATAAAAAAATATCGTTTGTTCGCATCATGTTTTATTACAAATTAATAGGTGGAAGAACAATGAATACAACTTTGTATTGAACACATAAATTCCATTTAAATAAAAAATAAATGCAAATGGGATAAATTTACAAAATTCACAATGGGACGTGTATATTTCATCGCTGAATAACACAGACCATTTGTTGATAGTATTGATTCCTCCCAAAGATATTTTTGCATTTGTGTATTTTCAAACTATATTAAAATTAACTGACTTACTTATTGTCAGTTAATTTTAAAATAGTTTGAAAATACACAAATGCAAAAATATCTTTGGGAGGAATCAATACTATCAATCACGAGAACTATTAGAAACTGTATTCAAGATAACTATCATTTTTGTATAAAGCAGTAAATGTGGATTACTTAATGACTTACTTAAATCAAATAATATAGATGATCGGGATCTAATGGTATTTAAAAACTTAATATATAGTTATAGTATGACAAATTTTACTTTAAGAATATTCATTAAGACGCGGTGGTTGAAAGTCTATCTATGACATCGCCACAGGTGTGAAATTTTGGATCAATCAAAGAACAATCGTGTGTATGGGAATTCGAGACGCAAATAATATTGTTATTTGCCGCACTACACATTCTATATATTGGGATATTCAAAGTTCAAATAACATCTGTAAATAGTATAAAAATACAATCTACAGTTTCTCGAACGAAAAAAAGTTCACGCGTTTGAATGTATGTGTGCATAAAAATGGTCAGATGTTTTGTTTAATAACATTTGTGTTACTTAACGAATTTCAATGATATCAATGATATTCAGTATGTCTATGTCAGTATGTGTTTTGCTAGAGGTACTTTCTTATCCAAGTCTCTAGTATTTGAAATGTGTTTTTTTGTGAATTTTGGGAGAGGAAGGGGGGATATATATATTTATATAAGTTTTGTAAATTTTGGAGTTAATGTATCTCCGTAAAAATAAGTTATGCTGGATACTTAATGCCAATGCATCAGTGAAAAAATCAAAAAGGTTTTGTGCTCAAATTTTAGTACCGACTTTAATGTTCTAAATCCCCCATCTGATATTCATTGAATACCCTGTTGTTACCCTTTTATAGATTGTTTTTGCTATAATATCGAAGTCCCAAAGAAACTTTCTTTCATTTTGTTTTCTGCGAACAACATTGTGATATTATTCCTGTTCTATTGTTATCTATGGTAATGCAGTTATTAAATTATATCTCGTATTGCTTAAAAGCTAGAGCCTCCAAATTTTGTATGTGGCTTAATATATATTTTCTAAAATTTTTCGATTTTTTTATATTTTGTATACCGGTTCAAAATTTTCCCAAACTCTTTAAATCTAAAAAGTTGAAAATAGGGCCAATATGCTAAGGAGTTTGTATTTTTACGAAGCTGACAATTACTTCAATTGAAAATGTAGAACATATTCAAGTTCACTTGAATCTACTAAGTAAAACAAAAGGAACCTTTTATTTTATTTTTTTGGTATTATTATTTATTATGAAGTGGGGGTGTCGATAGAGTTGATACGCGCTGCGTAGGCAATGTTGGTCCCAATCTTTGTATCCTAACATCGGTTTTTATTTTTTTTTTAATATTCGATACATATTAAAAATCGCAGATGGGACTGGAATCAGGGTCTCTCATAGCGCTCACCCCGACTAGAGCTTTCTTACTTGTTCCTTTTGTGCTTCTATAGAGACCGATGACACATAGACCAAACGAAAATATAATCAACCAGCGCACGAAGTTCCACTTCTCTTTATATACCCTTTCCTGGAAATATCTTTCAGTTATAAAAGATGATATATAGAAGTGCACATTTTTTTAGGAATTCAAAATAAAAATATTTAAAGCTACGGCGGATAAATTTAAATTAAAATTTTTGAGTAATTTGCGCTTGGTCTAGCCTATGGGAAATAAATTTTTAAATCTCTTATTCTAAATTGACTTACCTTATCAACCAAAGCACAAGTCCCTAGTAAGAATTACGTTTTTTCGAATTTGTGAAGATTTGGATGAGGTATGTAAGAGCTAAACTATACAAAATTAGCGAAACCTCCACAGAGAATTGAATGTGACAGATACTCAGGAGAAGATATTAGATCGACTCATCTCGTCGTCCTGATTAAGAATATATATACTTTATGGAGTCTGCCATGCCTTCTTTTAGCATACATTTTCACAAAACCATTATATCTTGAAATTTTGATGGTTACGTGATATATGGAGACTAGTTTTAGAAGTACCAGACTTGTTAACATTTTCCATTGCTTTACAATTTTTGTGCCTGGAATAATTGCACAATATTGTATTCATTAAGCTAATATGCTTATATTCATTAATTAAAAAATCTAGTATATTTTTAATCTGCCAAACATCTAGGGTTGGTCCAATAGATGTTTTTAATATATGCAAAATAATTTGTTAAAAACAATTTTCATTTATGTACTTCATAGTACAACTAACAACCGAAATCTTATGATTATAATTTTGTTAAGTTTTCAGGGATTTTTATATAACATTAATAAGCAAACTCAATTTTATATAAGTATTTTAGATCAATACTTACATAAGCCATTATGGACAAATATAATGTATACGGCGCAAATACACAAAATGCAAATTACTTATTACATTTTAGGGTGGATGTTAATTTATTGCTCCAAATACCTTTTCGTCACATATATTATTAATCCTCATATATGCCTCCAATGAAGACATACTAAATTAACCTCAAGTAGCTATCAGGATCCATATTTACTTAAGACAATTAAATTTCTTACGCATTGTTAATAATGCCGAGTCAACTGATTAAACATAAATAGTACATATATGTATGTAAGCAAAATGTATTTTTGAGATTTTAATGTAAATTTAACATGAACATGTATTTTTCTTTTCGATATCTATTTGTTTATTGATAATACCTTAAGCATTTGGTTATTGATTTACTTTCTTGATGAATTCAGCTAATTACAGACATTAAAGTTATTTGTTACTTTTGATTTTTGATTAAATTGTACATAAAAATCATAATAAAGTACAATACTGTACGTATGCATATGTGATGTGGCAAATACATATAAACACAAGGAAGTATATATTGCATTTATATAAGTATATTTAAATTTATATATAAACATATGTATGTATAGATATTGAAATTAATATGGATTTATGGTAGATTCTAATAACGTTCAAACTAGCTTTTAACCCATTATCTTTAGTTTTAACATATAGTCAAAACTTAAATTAAATTTGACTGACTTAAGCACTTGTACTTTTCTCATTTTGTTTTTTAACCATAATTTTATAATTTTTTTCCGGATGCTCATAAAAAAAATTCACACAATGCCACTCTCCGCACTTCATAATTCTAAAATTAAGAATATTTCAGTTATGTCCAAACTCAATGGTGCATTTAAGGGCAATTTTATTTTTGCAATTACCCTTTTTCTTTCAATTTAACAAATTTTTGATAATTCTGTCTGATACAAAAATGTTTCATAACACAAGTTGTACTGGTACAAGATCAATATACTAAATAAATTAATAGCTTCCGTTCTTTTCGCATACATTTGAACTATGTATACTTTTGCTTTATAATTCTAATGGGACCCGATCTTAACGTCTTATAAAAGCGTAGCATTGTGTGTGTATTGAAGTGCAAGCTTTTCCATTCCAGCTACATTCAATAAAAATAAATATATTGTATATAAAAAGTATAAAATAAAGTGCTGTTTTATTTCATGTTTATGTATACTCGTTGAGCTTTTTATATATGAATGGCTTTTAGTTGACTTAATTGCATGCATGTTCAAAAAAATTAGTTCACATTTTCGGCATAATTTAGAAGCTCATAATCAAACTATACGTAAACTACAAAAACTCTTATCCTGTAACAATTGAAAAAGTTAATTTGCCCGTTACGGAGTCTGACAATTCATACACGTTGCTACAGTGACTGTTGTACATTAACGATCGTTACTTCTGTTAGTCTATATGTTAAGATTTCGTTAAACATTTATAAATTTGTTTAGGTTTAAAGTTATTTTTTTTTCATTTATTGTTGTAGCTTATATGGCCGTCAATTAATTATGTAAATAGTTTTCTTTACTAATAAGTATGTTATTTAAATCATTCTTATTTTGTTTGTATATAAATTAAGGACTTAAACGTTATAAGAAAAATGTTTTATAAAGTGTATTGTTTACCGATGTTCTTTTTTACATTACATTTTGTAGATATATATATATATATATATATATATATATATATATATATATATATATATATATATATATATATATATTATATATATATATATATTATATATTATATATATTATTTTCTACCTGTGACTTTTTTTTTATATAAATGCTTTAATTTTATTTGACTTTGTTTCATTAAGACCAACTCCTGTTCTGTTTGTAGTCATGTAAGGATTTTTGTTTGTTACCTACTGAATGAAACTGACGCGTCATCCATTATACACATATGTACGGATATTACGGTAAAGTTACCATAATAATCGTGATTGTGCTATAATAGTCGTCAACGTAGTGCATACCCAATTTGTATTTTTGTTTATAATATGGCGTCGCCGCCCATTTATGACCTTTAGACGACTTGAACTAAGTTTACGTAGTTTTAACTGTAGCTGTGACTGGAATTTAGACTATACAACTGACTATTATCGACAGCTCATTATAGGATCTGTTTCGAATTTTTTCATTTACACTAATAATATACTTGTATGTATGTATGTCTAGTTGTAGTTTTCTGTGTATGTCTGTGTTTGGTTTTGTATAAGTATAATAAGTATATAGCAATATAAATAATTTGTATATAAAGTTCTTGTTTTTGCTATGGTCTACGTCGCAGCCAACACCCTTTCCCTTTCTAATTATCTCGGTTGCTTACTCACTGCGTAAGCACTTTCACCTAATAACAGTAACATTTAGCCACTGACAACAGCGCACAAAATTGTTTTTGGTTCGAAATATGTATTTATGTTCATTTGAATTTGAGATGTTGTATTTGTTGCTGCTGTTATTGTCGGTGATGCTAAACGCGGAATGCTCGCAACCGCCACGTTGACCCTACCCTACCCATTAATACGCGTTGTGCACATTTAATTCCATACGCGCAAGAATGAGTCCCACGATCCTGTTGCTACTGCCATACCATTTTCAGTGACCCCCAAACATGAAACACGATTATCATGCCCAGCCAGAATACCTGAGCGTTCTGCTTTCATTGTATCCCATACATTACAATTAAAATCGTCGTATCCTGCTAATAGCAGGCGGCCACTTTTTGAGAACGCAACGGAGGTGATACCACAAATTATGTTGTCATGCGAATACATTGCCAATTCCTGATCTGCACGTATGTCAAAAAGCCGACAGGTTGCGTCGTCAGAGCCTGTCGCGAAGGCTTGTCCGTTAGGAAAGAAAGTGACTGCATTGATATCAGATTCATGTCCAGGGAAAGTTTGCTTACAAACACCTTCTCTTATATCCCATAGCTTTGCAGATGCGTCACATGCACCCGACACAAAAGTTTTGCATTGCGGTGCCAGGGAAAGAGCCATCACATCACCAGTATGCCCCAGAAAAGAAGTAACCTGCAAACCGGTTTCGATGTCCCATAGGCCGCATGACATATCACCTGAGCTTGTCACAATTTGATTATCGTCCAGAAAACGGCAGCATGATAGATATCCCCCATGTCCTGGTAGCTCACGAGACACACGCACATTACCTTCGCGTGTCTTTAAGTTATAGATTGAACACATGTTGTCGAGCCCACCGCAAGCGACGTAGCTTCCTGATGGAGCGTATGCGCAGGTCATCACCCACGAAGATCGCAGCGGTATAGCATGTACTTTGTTCGTAGTGTGCGAGTCCCATACGATTAGTTTCCCATCTTGTGAAGCTGATACTAGGTTTCTGGAGTCATTACCCCAATGCATAGCATAAATTTTAGCTAGATGACCGCGCAGGGTACGTCGAGTGCGCATTTGTATACGTCCAATAGGTTCTAGCAAAGCGGCAGCCTGCAACAGAGACGTATCGCACGCTGCCTTTCGTGCATCTCGAATGGCATTCTTTAATGACTCAGCTTCTTGTCTTAGACTATCTAGTTCATTCATATTGTATAGTTGATAGTTACGTTCTTTTCTTAAATGTTTTTCTCGTTCGTACACGTTATGAACCAAAACCTTTTTAACAAAATTCAAATTCTGGCCTGGATGCCTCCGGGTATTTTTGGCTCCGAATCTAAATATGTACATTAGTAAATTTACAAAATACATTTTTTGGAAAGGTTATACTACTCACGTTTCTAAATTTTTGTTTACAGAGCTTTCGTCCTTGTTAGTTCAGTTGATTCTTGTCTGACAACAATATAAAGTTAGATTAACACTCGCCGGTAATATGCGTATTTCCCAATAAAGATGATTTCTCTTCCAATTTCAACGGTATGGACTTGGTCAAGATTTCGTCTTGCAATTCTTATTGCACGCTGTTAATTCATGTTATCCTGCTGATAAAACTTAGATATATGTATTTCTTAGAACACTTTGCTTGGTTGGCTACGCTTAATAAATGTATTTTCAAAGTATAAAACCTCAATTAAATCGCGTGAAAGAATAAATTTTATGAAAAAGATTCTTCAGCGAATCGGTGGTATTTATGTTTCTTTTTACGTACCGATTGACTAATCTTTATAATCTATGCAGATTGATTTTCTTTTGATTAATTATAAGCCGCCATTATGCATTGTTTTTTTTTTTTTTTGTTTTTATAAAATTCAAATTTAAAAAGGTATTTTGATAATTAGATTCGAAGTCAAAGAATAAAATTCCTCATTCGTTTTTTTTTTTCTACTTTAGTTTAAGCTCATTGATTTTTAGTTAATTTGTATACAATTGCAAAATAATAAACCATACAGTTAACTGTTCCCAGTAAAATATTCCTTTTTCTGCTCGCCAACCGTTTGGTTAGCCTGTTTTTACCCGTGCTGAATACCGTCTCCCAATTATACTAGCTTTTTTTTGGTACACCAAAATTGTAATTTTTGCACCACCGCTTTATTAAAATCCCGAGTAATTGGAGAAAGCAGTACAGCCAGTGTTTTATAGTGCCGAACATTAGTGCGTACGACAGAAAAGGCAGATTTAAATGTAACCAGTGTCGGTGCGACAAGTATAGTTAAATGTAAGTAAGCATTTGTCCCATTCGCACCAACAGATAGTGACATTTCATGAAATTGATAAAGAGAGAAAGACATACATAAGAAAAAATCAATTTTAAATCCTAAAATTGTCGAGTACAAATATTTATGTACAAACATAAGCATTTTAAACTGAACATCTATAATATAGTCCGGATTAAATGTAAGGCAACATGTAAAACTAAACTTACGTTCAACAAATATGTATTAACATAATGGAATATACGAACATTAATTATACATATATATATATATATATATATATTTGTATGTATACATATATATATATAAATTATCAGTATAAATGGGCCTCAATTTGTAGTCATATTTACTCATATATATCTACTTATGTATACATACATTTATATATATATATATATATATATATATATATATATATATATATATATATATATATATATATATATATATATATATATATATATATTCAATAAGTTTGTATTTTTCGACGGAGTAAATTTCAATCGTGAAAACACACCTGCCACCCTTATACACCGCTGCTAATCAATTTAAATAATTTTACTGATTTGTATTGTATTGTTACACACTTGGGTACACAGTAAACTGATAAACAGATGTATAAATTTTACACTCGGTAGAACTTTAAACCTCTTAACTAATCGCTAACAGATTTTTTTCGGTATGTCAATCCCAACACAACTCTTCATTTGCACTTCTCAATTGCTAGCCAACACCTAGAAGTAATACAGGCATGCTGTAAATATATCGATATTATTTTATCGATGACAATATATGCAAACGTTAATTTTCTGTTTCCAGGTGTAAGTATAAAAAGCACATTTATGTACATTTATAAGCTCACTCGATTTATTATTCTATTTAAAAATTCTTATCATTTAGTTGATATAAATTAAATTTAAACTTTATTCGATGAGAAATATCACTAACGACTGACTCCACTCAAATACACAGGCTACTTCGCCTGCAATAGATTGCTGAATTTCCATATTGCGTGGTCTGCTGTTGCTATCATAATCAAAAAAATCAAAAGTTCGACATAAAATAAATATTTATTCCAGTTTATCATATGCAGTATGAGCTTATAAATTTTATTCGATCACTCCCCATTTCCTTATTACAGCAAACATCCAGTTAACCACGGAATTCATATAATGAATACACAGATTTTGGATTATATTTGATTTTATACATCTCTTCTCCATTTCGAAGAGTTGAAAATTGTGTAGTGATAGAGATAAAAATTTAGACTTACTAATGTGTCTTACAGTTGGTTTTCATCGATATGTATAATTCCATTATATTATGAAACTTCACATCTACGAAATGTTCCCTGTTTATTTTTAATATACTACTTATATCTTGCAATGTACGACTTTTCAAGAATACTCACATCTGTATTTATGATTGAGCAAATATAACTTTGCGTAATGCCACCTAGTTGGGTGACAATTTTAATCCTTTAGTAGCCTTTTTTCAAAAACTGAGCTATTGCTTGTGTTAAGTAATTTTCTTTTCATTACAATATATCGACCCATTGAATTTTTCCTCGTTACATTCAAGAAATTGTTCTCACAAAACTCTATTTCCTTTTTGTTCTTTAAATCTTCTATTGCTACACTTGTTGCTACTATCGTTGATTTACCTTTCGACTTTGTTCAAAATGATACAATCCAACCCAATTCCGTTTTCTACCAAGCAATCCATCCTATCCTATTGAACATGGGAAATCAGAGTATAATGGTTTTGTGCAAACGTATGTAACAAGCAGAAGTAGGAGTGACTGACCCCATAAATTATAAATTCTTGATCAGGACGGCAAGCCGAGTCGATTGAGCCCTGTTCGACTCTTTGTCTGTCATAACTATTTCCGTTTCATTGTTATCGATTAAAAACATAATCGAAATGCAGTTGTTAAATTATATTTGGTACGGCTTAAGAGTTAGAGCCTCAAAATTTTGAATTTATTTTCTTGAATATTTTCTACAATTTTTTGGTTATATTTTGGATACCTGCTCCAAATTCTCCTAAATTCCTAAAACTTAAGTTTAGTTGGAACTAGAGCCATTATGTGAAGGCGTTTGCATCTCAACCAAGTCAGTAGAATATGTAGATCACATGCTGAAAATTTAATTAAAATCCATTAAGTAAGAGAAGTTATTAAACAAAACGTTTGGCCAATTTGCAAATCACATGTTAGCAGAGCCACGCGCAGGCATTTTTCCTATGCGTGTGCACACAAACATTGAAATGCGTGTATTCTTTTCTATTCGAAGAATCGAAATTGCGATTGAATACTGCTTGAATTATCAGCTGCTTTGTAACTCCAAATTTGCAACTCTCCTTGCAAGTGGTGCAGATAGGACTGGGATTAGGGTATCTCCTAGTTCTAGTTTGATATTATAATTAGTCACATACCAAGGTGCACATGTAATCATTCTAAGTGTCTTGTTGTGATATCGCTGTATAATTTAGATATTTGAATTACTAGCAGTACCCCATAATTACAATGCGTAGGTCCATATTGGCTTCAGTACAGCGTTATATAGCCTTAATTTGTTCTCAAGACTAAGTTCAGAACGTGGTCCTAACAGCCAATACATTTTCCTGGTTTTCATCTTGACTCTACTTTCCCGAATATTAGTCGTACTAAACTGACTCGCACTGTAAGCATCATGTGATAAGTATAAGAAGACAACCAGGCATTTTTAATTCATTTCCATTAGTACTTAGTTTTGCTTTATCAAAATTCGAAATGAACAATTCTGATATGAACTCACTCAGCCTGTGGTAAAGCAAATAAGCAGGAGATTATAGTTTAAAAAAAATCTGATCAGAAAACAAGGTAATATAAAAAAGATAAAGAAGCTTAATTTGAAGTACTAAAACTGACGGAATCCCTTGACAAATTGAGATCTATGTGATCAAAACCGAAAATTTAATTAATTTTGCAAGGGAATCCTCAACAATAAGGAAATTCCAGTATACAAATTTTAGATAACGTTGATAACCAGACGATAAGTTTCGATGCAACAAAAGAATGCAACAAGTAAATTTAAAATATTGGTTAACCACATCGTGAAGTTCAAAGGCTGTAAAAGTAAAAGTATGCTTATGATCAAACTTCAAAATTTGATGAATGATACAAAGGAAAGTCAATTCGGAGAAATGTTATTGCAATTGGAGAGCAATCACTGTAGAATTAGTTAACTATTAATTAAACTGGAAAAGGTGGCTGACGAAATAAAGAATATTGAACATTAAAAACCGAATGCATAAATAATACTGCCCTACAAATTTTCATGTGAAATGTTATAATTTCTTAAGAACTTAAAATGTTTGTTGGTCCAACGCTTTACGTAAAATATGATGACTTTTAACACTATATCGAAGATATTCTGCAAGAGTCAGATAGTCGCCGAGTCATCCTGCATGAGCAAACAACAAGAAATCGACTAACGGCCCAAAAAATACAGATAGAATATTTACTCTGTAGACGGCCCATGGACACACATCATTATTTGTGTTGTTATACCCTGAACCCATTGAAAATGGAAAATCAGGGTATAATGGTTATGTGAAAATGTATGTAACAGGCAGAAGGAGGCGCGGCAGACCCCATAAAGTATATATATTCTTGATAAGGACGTCCATCTGTGCGTCTCTCCGTATGTGTGAACGCGTCGATCTCAGCATATATAAGAGCTAGAGACTTCGTGGGTCCGCGTACAGCACGCGGATATCATGTTTATTTCATATATTCGATAACTATTCCCAGTTAATTGTTATTGAATAAAAACATCGAAAGTTAATAACTTATATCTCGTACGTCTTAAGAGCTATAGTTCAGTGGCAAATAGGACCATTACTAAGCTAATATAATATGTAGTGCATATGCTGAAAATTTCATTAAAATCCATTAAGTAAAACAGAAGTTATTAAACAAAACGTTTGGCCAATTTGCAAAAGCACATGTCAGCAGCGCCACGCGCACGCATTTTTCCTATGCGTGTGCACACATACATTCAAATGCGTGTATGCTTTTCTATTCGAAGAATCGAAATTGCGATTGAATTCTGCTGAATTATTAGCTGCTACTTAACTTCAAATTTGCAACTGCTTACATAAGCAGTGCAGTGGCTGCGTTGGTAGAGGCGGCGCTCGTCAGCGTGTAATCTTGGGTTCGAATCTTGGTGTGGTAATGTCAGTTTTTATTTGTATTTCTTTTAATACTCGATACAAACAATTGAAAATATTAAATAACGCAGATGGGACTGGACTTTTCTTACATGTTTTCTTTAATATTCGATATGAACTACGGATAATATTAAAAAACGCAGATATGACTAGTATCAGGGTATCTACTAGTCGGGCACCCCGACTGGAGATTTCGTACCTGTTATAAGTAATCTTTTTACTATACGAGTGATCACGGCGGAAGCATATTCTTACAGTGACATCAATGACCGCAATCTCAGAACTTAAGTTTGTTAATACTTAAATTAAACTGCTGGCTGCTGGGCCCAACATTCTCCTCTCTTTGAATTTCCATTGTTTAATAGATTTTTCAAAGGACATTCTTTCAGCTTCAATTTGTAATAAGCGTGTCCTGCTTAACGCTTCAAACTTGGCAGCCAGGTAATAACGTTGCATGTTCTAGCATTTGTAAATTGAATGTTTTCTATCACTGATATTCATTACGAAAACAGCATGCTGGTGATAAATTTGTTATGATTACATACATTGTTCAGGCATGAACTACAATATGTATATTTAATAACATATAAATAAGACCCGAAGCAATGTAGAGTATTCTACATATAAATGCGTTATATGCCTAACATATGATAGTGTATACTAAATACGCATATAGTGACATTTGTCCCTACGCATAAACATAGGGCGAGCGCAAAGATAAACAAATGTAATATGATCAGCCGCTTAAGTGTGGTCTGACCAGCAGCGTGGGAGATGCCGCGTACGCACTTTGCCTAAGGTCTATGCCGCTTGCCTAATGTTTATGCCATATGCATATAAGTATATACAAGCTATATATATGAAGCTACACAGAGGGAGAGCATAGTATGTCTCCCGCTTGGAGCTCCACTCAACCGCAGAACTCATTAGATAATGTACTTAGGCTAAGAGATGAAATACGCATGAGCCAGGGTATAAGAACTCTTGCTCAGACGAATAAAGATCATTACACAACTGAACACCACCACAGTTATTTGTATTCACATTTTGGTCCTTCGAGTAAAATCCACAAGGTTTCGTTTGTGACATTTTGGTCCTTCGAGCCGGATCCACAAGACTACGTTTGTGACAAGTGTGAAAGGCTACGTTGTGACTTGTACTCACATTTTGGTCCTTCGAGTAAAATCTACAAGGCTACGATTGTGACAAGTGTGAAAGTGAAGTGAAAAATTGTTAAAGTACTTTTTTGGCTTACCAATTCAAGCTGTGAGTAGAGGCACTGCCCGATCAACCAGGCGATCAAAACAAAAACATAGTATGTCTCCCGCTTGGAGCTCCATTCAACCGCAGAACTCATTACATAAAGTTTTTAGGCTAAGAGATGAAATACGCATGAGCCAGGGTATAAGAACTCTTGCTCAGACGAATAAAGATTATTACAGAACTGAACACCACCACAGTTATATGTATTCACATTTTTTGGACCTTCGAGCTGGATCCACAAGGCTACGTTTGTGATGTGTACACACAATTTTTTGGTCCTTCGAGTAAAATCTACAAGGCTACGATTGTGACACAAGAAAGTGAAGTGAAAAATTGTTTAAGTACTTTTTTGGCTTAAACTTTTGAGTTGCTCACAAAGCAATCCGAGATCTATGACAAGATCCGGCAGAGAATCACGAACAAGGATGCGTTACCAGCAATTGATAAATTGGCTGAAGAGTTTACTGCCAATCATCTAATGCTGGTCAAATTCAGTGTCATCAATCATCAATATTTTAAGGAGAAAATATATGATGGCGTAATGGAAAACATCAGGAACTACGAGGTGTCTCTGATGAAAGTCGAAGTTGCCGACCACGCCATAGACACCGACGAAACAACATCCATCCAACCAAAGGCATCCAAGGCTTAACACATGCAGCAGGAAATAATATTTTCCCAAATAAGCTCGAACCCAATAGATGTGCTGGTTGACCTTGTGGACAAACGAGCTCTAAAAGTAAGGCAACACATGCAAGAAGTGTATGCCAAGCTAGAGCTCAGCAGCCAGAAAGAAATCCTTGACTATAAAGACAAGTTGATTTTCCTGTGGAACAAAGTCCTAAGTCCGTTCTATTCGCTCAAATTTTGTTGCGACGATTCTCTACGGAAGTCCTACAACTTTACCAGCAACACGTAAATAGGCCAGAGAAATTCAATGCTTGGACGATGTACTAGAGTTTATTGAGCAACTGTATAACTCAATAGGCTCAGTGCAAAAAAGCGCCGCCCATTCGTCAAGGGAAGCAAAGTCAACGAGCCACGAGAGATGCCGTTTTTGCCAATTGACTGGACATGAAATAACCAGGTGTCAGAAATTTAGAGCTGAGCCGGTTAAAAAACGCAAGGAGTTTGTGCTCAAAAACTCGCTTTGCTACAAATGTCTAGGCAGCCACAGCGTTAAAGATTGCAAAAAGAATTGGACTTGCAATCAATGCACCAAATCACACAACAATTTGCTTCACGAGGAAGCAAATAAAAATGAGACCGTCAGCAGCAACTATCACGAACAAGGATCATCAATATGTCATCAATCATCAATATTTTAAGGAGAAAATATATGATGGCGTAATGGAAAACATCAGGAACTACGAGGAGTCTCTGATGAAAGTCGAAGTTGCCGACCACGCCATAGACACCGACGAAACAGCATCCATCCAACCAAAGGCATCCAAGGCTTAACACATGCAGCAGGAAATAATATTTTCCCAAATAAGCTCGAACCCAATAGATGTGCTGGTTGACCTTGTGGACAAACGAGCTCTAAAAGTAAGGCAACACATGCAAGAAGTGTATGCCAAGCTAGAGCTCAGCAGCCAGGAAGAAATCCTTGACTATAAAGACAAGTTGATTTTCCTGTGGAACAAAGTCCAGTCGACGCTCACCGATTTAGAGGCAAAATACGAAAAATTTGCCTTCGACATCGATGAGATCGATGAGCTGGAATGCAATGTCAGCATACTCACAAAAAAAAAAACTAAACAGAAGAGTAGCTGACTTGCAAAATACACGAAAAGACGTTCCAGAGCTACCGAAAGTGGATCTTCCTCACTTCAATGGAAGTCCCAAAGAGTGGCCGACGTTCTTCGAGTTATTCTCTGAGGTGATTCACAACAGGAGAGATATCAGCGACACAAGGAAGCTGAATTGCCTGAAGTCATGCCTTAAGGGAGAAGCCAAAATGGTCGTAGGCCATTTATTAATTGGCTCGTCTGCTAATTTCAACTCGGCTTGGGAACTAATATGCAAGCGCTACGAAAATACGCGCAAAATATTTGCTAACGCCGTCAACCAGCTAGTGGACATGGAACTGCTCAAGAACAATGATGAAGGCAGTATCCGCAAGACCTTGGACACAGCAACAGAATGCATTTTCATTATCAAAGAAAAGGGTCAATTTGGTAATGAAGTTGACGCTCTAATCGCTCAAATTCTGTTGCGACGATTCTCTACGGAAGTCCTACAACTTTATGAGCAACTCGTAAAAAAGGCCAGAGAAATTCAGTCCTTGGACGATGTACTAGAGTTTATTGACCAACTGTATAACTCAATAGACTCAGTACAAGAAAGCGCCGCCCATACGTCAAGGGAAGTAAAGTCAACGAGCCACGAGAGATGCCGTTTTTGCCAATTGACTGGACATGAAATAAGCAGGTGTCAGAAATTTAGAGCTGAGCCGGTTAAAAAACGCAAGGAGTTTGTGTTCAAAAACTCGCTTTGCTACAAATATCTAGGCAGCCACAGCGTTAAAGATTGCAAAAAGAATTGGACTTGCAATCAATGCACCAAAGCACACAACAATTTGCTTCACGAGGAAGCAAATAAAACTGAGACCGTCAGCAGCAACTGTCTAAATGAAAATAAAGGGCATGCAACGTTGCTGGCGACAGCGCTCATCCAGATTAAAAATAAGTGTGGGAAATACGAGCAGCTAAGGGCCCTTATAGGTGGAGGCTCGCAAAAAACCCCAATATCTGAAGAAGCTGCACAACAGTTAAAACTGCGCCGAACTAAACGGAACTTGGAAGTTCAAGGAATTTCGCAAAATATAGAAATCCTTAAAAATAGTGTTTGCTTAACAATCAAACCCCGGTTTAAATGCAAATTCATTACCACAACGCAGGCACTTGTTATGCCAAAACTTCAGAGAGCTCTTCCGACCAAGAAAATTGACATGGATGTCAATAAGGATTGGAATGGCTGCGCGCTAGCAGACCCACATTTTAACGAGCCCAGTCGAATTGACATTGTCATTGGCGTTGATTTACTTCCCTTAATAATGTTGGGAAAAGTAAAGAAAATCAACAAAACTCTGGGACAAAAGACCGAACTTGGATGGATTGTTTCTGGCAATATATCTGGATTATCAACCAACAAGGAAATCAGCGCATCAACAACGATGTGCCTGGACGTCCCAGAGAACTCTGGGAAGCATCGAAAAATTGGGTTGCTATACAGACGGAGACGTAGGCCACGGATTAAGAAGAGAAACCAGAGGCAGCAATTGCTAGCTGTCGCATTTTCTGGCCCCCCGCAGAATGCTCAGGCATGAACATACTGTAGTATATTTAATAAAATATTAATAAGATCCGAAGCAATGTAGAGTATTCTACATATAAATGCGTCATATGCCTAACATATGATAGTATATACGAAATACGCATATAGTGACATTTGTCCCTACGCATAAACATAGGGCGAGCGCAAAGATAAACAAATGTAATATGATCAGCCACTTATGGCCAGACCACAGCAGCGCGGGAGATGCCGCGTACGCACTTTGCCTAAGGTCTATGCCGCTTGCCTAATGTTTATGCCATATGCATATAAGTATATACAAGCTATATATATGAAGCTACACAGAGGGCGAGCATAGTATGTCTCCCGCTTGGAGCTCCACTCAACCGCAGAACTCATTACATAATGTACTTAGGCTAAGAGATGAAATACGCATGAGCCAGGGTATAAGAACTCTTGCTCAGACGAATAAAGATCATTACACAACTGAACACCACCACAGTTATTTGTATTCACATTTTGGTCCTTTGAGTAAACTCCACAAGGCTTCGTTTGTGACATACATTCTAACTGGATATATACCTTGTCATTGCAAACTTGATAAACTTTTAGACACGGCAACGAAACTCTAAACCACTTTAACCACACAAGCTTCTTACTTATCATCTCAAGTGTTACTACTTTTTCTCTTTCAGCCTATGATGACCCATAAAATGATTAGAGCTAAACAATTAGCATGCCATTTGGTCCTTGCTGCAATGAAAAATTATGCGTCGACACGTCGTTGATCAAATAGTCCTTTAATCCTTTTGAAGTTTTGGCATTGTATATAATTGACATTATCTTGAGCTTTTTTTTCCATCGATGGTCAATGGCTGTCGAAAATATTTAATTCAAGTCTGCCCACTTCGGTAGCAGCTATGAAGCGGAATGCGAGTTGTTAAAAGGGATGAAATGGAGGTATGGACTGACCAAGTTCGGCTTTAGAGTATAGTTAATTGCATGACTATTGTCAACTCATCGAAATTCATGCGCAATTCAATTCACGCAGATGAGAATCTGCTCATATGCTTAAATGTTCATAAAATATATTTATTCATTTAAACCTGTTAGATCGCAGTACTTCTGAAATAATAATACAAGCTGCTTGTCTGTCAGCTGCATATGTTATAAGAAAGACAACTATGTCGAAGTACTTGTAGCTGCACTATATCAACTATATCTATGTATATAATATTTTAATTGTACTCATAATTGCAAGCTTAGCAGTTCATAAGAAATATCCTAAATTGACGAATGATTATGCTGATGGGACTACAATTTCTTTTTAGCAACTTAAGCCCATCAAGCAATTATGATACTGGTTTGTTATTATTAGTAAGTATTTTATATTCCTTGAAATTCAGTATTCACAAAGATGTTATAACGGTTTTCATGGTACTTAAATGACGACAATTTTTTTGTCCCAATTCCATAGGACCAAAGTATGTATGTGGAATGGTTATGATTACAATAGGATAGATAATATGATCGATCACAAATAATAATCGACGCCTAATAGTAATGATAAAAATTTATTGTACAGAATAAAGTAAATTATGCGCATAAGTAATAATAAGTTCATTCATTGATTGTCTTAATAAAATTTCAAAATCGGTGTATCGATTCGTCGCCATGAATATAATATATTTGAACTACCGATATATATAAAGAAATAAATATGTATGTATGTACATACGTTAAATTGCCACAAAATTAATATAACGGTGTACATGCAAGCAATTTATAAACTAATATGCAAATATATTTATAACTAAATATATTTATGTGTATGTATTCATAATATAAATATTTTGCATAAATGGATGAGAATTTGTTTTTAAATAAGGAGCTTCGCAACGTCTATAACTCAAAACGTGCGTATAATCTTTCGGAAATCGAAATTGTCGGCCGTTCAGAAAACGATGCAACGCACCCCTTATTACGAACGGATCGACATCCAACAAAATTTGTGCTCTGTCTAAGCTGCAAAAGGCACATTCAAAATAATTCCTTAAGTGATATATGCGCACATTATATGGTTTATCCTCATCTGCAAAGTTTTGTCAAGTGCTTATATTGCACTGGAAACGTTCATCACTATCTACATCCTGAGAGAGTGCTTCCGGAAGTTTTCCACTATTGTTCACCACGAAAACAAGAAAAAAAGACATTAAGAAATCTATAATCATGGCAAATATTGACGCTGATTCCGGTAACAAAAATTCAGTCCTGCAATTTGACGCATTATCAGAAAAATCAGAGACATCGGAATATTCCGATCATGATACTGAAGAAGGCGACCCTATTGACGATGAAGTAGGTAGTTTATTTAATTATTCAGAACTACATACCATTAACAAATCCCTCGATGTAAATGTTAATGGTAATAGGTTTGGCCCTTCAAATAATAATGTTTCGAAATCCATAAATTTAGTCGATCTGAACACACAAAGTGAACATATAGAAAACGGAGTGCCCGTTAAGTTTCAGCTGAAAACACCAACGAAATCAGTAACTGGGCATCCAAACTATGGTTTCGGTAAGCGTTGGTCGAAATCAGAAGACATTTTACTTAAATCTTTAGTTGAAAAACATCGGGAACGCTGGGATATTATTGGATCACATTTTAAAGATAGACTTGAGCAACAAGTTCAACAGCGTTGGGCGAAGGTATTGAACCCAGAGCTTATTAAAGGACCGTGGACGCGCGAAGAAGATGAGAAAGTTATTGAACTTGTGCATCGATTTGGACCAAAGAAGTGGACTTTGATTGCTCGGTATCTAAATGGACGGATTGGAAAACAATGCCGTGAACGTTGGCATAACCATCTTAATCCAAGTATTAAGAAAACCGCTTGGACGGATGAAGAAGATACAATAATTTACAATGCCCATTTAAAGTTGGGAAATCAATGGGCTAAGATTGCAAAACTGCTGCCAGGTCGAACTGATAATGCTATAAAAAATCATTGGAATTCTACAATGCGTCGTAAATATGATGCTGAGCGTAGATCTGTTAATTCCGTATCTGGTAGTGATTTAAAAAGCTCACGCACTCGTCTTATCGAATTGATTAAAACTGGTGGTATTAATAAGTGCCCACAAGCTTTATATACCAAATCAACTCTTTTTAATAACAGTATTTCTGATTTATACAAATCAGAAATCAATAAAGCTGTAGAATCATATAAAGACGCTTTTGTTACAGTTATAAAAACCGATGATGTAATTAAAGAAATGTACACTGAACCCCTCGAAACTTCTGATTCTTCAACTATTGATACACATAATGTCAATGCATCTATGAAGGGCACATTCAGGACATCATTACCTCTTTTACAATATGATATAAAACTTAGGGCTACACCTAATATACTGAAACGGTCACGCAAACACATTCCAGATGCATTGAAAATTTCAGATTTGTTAAAAAGTGACATGAAATCAAAATTACCACAAACGCCAGTTATAACCCCTATTAAACCACTGCCCTTTTCACCAAGCCAGTTCCTTAAATCACCTTGTCTCACAACATTTAAGGATATGAATTTACCAGCAAGCACACCAGTTACCAAAACGTATAACAGAGTGGGAATGGAAATAAAAAAAGAGTTGGAAACCACATCAATTGAAACGCCACATAAAAGTATGTAATATTATACTAAATCATTTTACATTTTATTATGCTTATAAATACAATTTAAAATTGAATTTTTATAGGTTTAGTTGGCCCACGCACTCCAACCCCATTCAAAAATGCTCTTGCTGCTATTGGAAAAAAATTGGATGGACGCTCTTACGTACCGTCTAGTCCTTCGAGTCTAGCTGAAGATCTTGCAGAAATTATCAATGAGGAACAACTAAATGACTCTGAGTTTAATATCAGTAAAGCTGAAAATAGATGCGATAACATATCCAAACCAGAATGTTCAAATACTCTTGCAAATATAAGTCTGTATTCGCCTGCGCCAAAGCGAGCCAGAAAATCTTTGCTTCCTAGTTGGAACGTAAACTTATCACAATACGAAAAAAAAACGCAACCGTTTATAACAGAGACACCTAGTAAATTTCTTATGTCGGAACAATCGGTTACGCATTTCTCCCCAAGTAACATTGTTGAGGAGACTCTAGATAGTGAACAGGACCTATTATTCGACGAGGGCAAAAAAGAAAATAGACCATACGGTCAGAGGTTTCGTGTCGTTTCCAACGATCATCTTCTGGATCCAAAATGGGCCCGAGTTGCATGTGGCAAAACCAAAGATCAAATTTTTATGGAGAAACAAGCATATGCATGTCTTCAGAATCTCGACTTAATGCCACGGTCATTAAATTTTGAGAAACAAAAATGAAAAAAGAATTAATAAATTAAATGCTGTAATAAATAAAGATATAGATGATAATTATTTATAGCATGTACAAAACTATGTGGAAATAAAATAAAATTGTCCCTTTAAAACTTGTATTCACTTATTAAAAAACAATTAAACTTAATCTATGCCGCTTTATCAGAATAGAAGACAACATCTATACATATGGATCATTATTTATGCTAAAAATTAATCTAATTTTCCCTTAAATTGTTTTACTCATGTCAATGTGAACGAACCATTATATGGGCAAATCGCGTGACAGCGATTGCGTAGTACTGAATTGGTTGCCGGCATACTACAGTAAACAAAAGATTTCGGATACAAGTCATATATTAATTTACTATTCTTCCATTGAAGATGAACATAATAACCAGGAATTTAATATTTAAAAACCATAACTCATATAATGCTGTTTTTGTATAAATAGTAACTATATTGGCTTCACAGTATAGCTTTTGCCGGCAAAACGTGAGAAAAACTTTAGGTCATACAAACGGGTGTTAAAACAAGTAAGAAAGCTCTAGTCGAGGTGCCCGACTAGGAGATACCCTGATCCCAGTCCTCTGAGCTTTTAAATTTTCAGTAGTTTGTATCGAGTATTAAAAAAAAACGAAAACAAATAAAAATCAACATTGCGAGACCAGGTTTCGAACCCGGATTATTTGCTCATAATTATTAAATTCATAATTTAAAAAAATAAATAAAACAATACAAAATGTTTCATCTCCACTGGTCTCGAACTCCGGACCGAGCTGTATACGAGCGCCGCCTCTACCAACGCAGCCACTGCTCCGCTTTCGGGAGCAGTGGCAAATTTGAACATAAGTAGCATCTAATAATTCAGCACAATTCAATCGCAATTTCAATTCTTGGAATAGAAAAGAATACACGCATTTGAATATATGTGTGCACACGCATAGGAAAAATGCGTGCGCTTGGCGCTGCTGACATGTGCTTTTGCAATTTGGCCAAACGTTTTGTTTAACTTCAGTTTTACTTAATGGATTTTAATTTTCAGCATATGATCTACATATCCTATTTCACATAATGGCCCTAGTTCCAACTGAACTTATACGTTAAGAATTTAGGGAAATTTGGAGCCGGTATCCACAATCCAACAAAAATCAAAATTGCATAAAATATACATAAAACTAAATACAAAATTTGGAGGCTCTAGTTCTTAAGACGTTCGAGATAAAATTTATTTAGTGCATTTCAATAATGGTTTTATTCGATAACAATTAAATGCGAATAGTTATCGAATATTTGAAACAAACTTGAAAATGTCAAGCCTCTAGCTCTTATAGATGCTGAGATCCACGCGTTCACACATACGGACAGACGGACGGACAGGGCTCAATCGACTCGGCTTGTCATCCTGATCAAGAATATATATACTTTATGGGGTCTGCCACGCCTCCTTCTGCCTGTTACATACATTTACACAAAACCATTATACCCTGATTTCCCATTTTCAATGGGATCAGGGTATAAAAACCAAAATACAGTTGCTATAAAGTAAAAAAAACTCGCAGCTGGTGCAGCATAAACTTTTTCGAGAAAACAAAAGATTAAAATATTTTATAATTTTTGTTGGTATTTTTAAATATAAGATTTATTTAAAACAAGTAAGATAGTCGGGGTGCCCGATTAGACGATACCCTGATCCCAGCTCTATACACCAAGATTCAAACCCACATTGATTACGTAACGCGCGTCATAATTGTAAAAAAAAAAACAATAATGTCCCCTCGCTGTCAAGCTCCAACCGAGAGATTATAGCTTACGAGCGCCGCTTCTACCAACAGCGCCACTGAATGTGGCGCTGCTTGACGTGTGTTTTTGCAAATTGCCCAAATGCTTCTACATATTCTATTTGTTTGGTAGAAATCCAAAAATCTGCACTTTTTGCCACCTTTTGCCTGTTACATACATTTACACAAAACTATACCCTTATTCCCCATTTTCAATGGGATTCGATAGATTAATTTTGAAGCTTAAGAATATCCTTTCACCTTGATCGGCGGCTAACTTGGAAGCATCACATGAAATCGAAACAAGAGCAGCTCAAGACGAAAACCAGGAAACTGTATTGGCTGTTAGGACCACGTTCTGAACTTAGTCGTGAGAACAAATTAAGGCTATATCAGGCTGTACTGAAGCCAGTATGGACCTACGCATTGCAGTTATGGGGTACTGCTAGTAATTCTAATATCGAAATTATGCAGAGATACCAGAATGAAATTATGCAGACGCTCAGAATGATTACATGTACACCCTAGTATGTGATTAATTATAATATCCACAAAGATGTTAAACTGTCCCTTGTTAAAGAAGAAATACAACTATATGCAAAAAGATACATGAATAAACTACATAACCATGATAATGCTCTATCACTAAGACTACTAGATGACTCAAGCAACCATAGGTGACTTAAGATTTCATGTCCTAGACCTGCCCCACAGAAGTAGATAAATATGTAAAGTATGTAAATATATGGATTGATCTCATTGGAGCCCAAGCCATCCGGTTAGGTAATATTGTTAAAAAATTTGATTATTGTCTAGTATGAGACAGATTGCAAAAAAAAAATGTTCTATTTGCATTTTTAAAATAGCAGGGTTACTATCGACAGTTATGATAATTGATCGAAAAATGAGCTTCACTCTGCATAATGGGAAATCTTGATTATCTTTTTATCACTTGCCTCTCTTTTTATCTATGTACGCACAAATTACCAAACGCCACAAAATTGAGGGAGATCAAAATGTGCATAATTGTAAGCAAAACACAAGTACATCCAGATGTTATCAAGGTGATTTTGATGCTCTATCTCTTTGTGTTATATTCAAGGGTGTCCGTGTTTAGCTAGATTTGAAGTACTAACCTTATGGTGTGTAAGAAGCTCAGAGTAAGAAAACCAATCAGTCAGCGGAGCTATTCTTTCAAACATACCAACTTACTTGTATTTATACGTGCAAAAGAAAACAAGAAATCTTACTTAAATAATGCCAAACACCAATGTAATGATAATTTTAAGTATGAATTTAGGTAAATCAGATATTCCAGAAAATGGGAAATATGCACATAAAAAATTGGTTCTACCTCTCTCATTGTAGATCTAACTCTTTTGTACAGATTATGTGTTATATATACATGGATAGACTTTCTAAATCAAATTGACAGTCCTGTGTGTATTTGCAAAGCACAACTATCTAGTATTTGAAATACATTTTTTAGAAACAGAGGAAGCAAAATCCAAATCTTTGTATTTATTACAGAAACCTACAATGTAAATCTGAAGTGTAAAAGTGAAGTGTTACTGAAAAAACTAAAATTGTCCATTCCTTATCGGTAATAAGGAAATGAGATGAGTTATCGCAAGTTATAAATTATTGAATTTCAAGCCTCATGGTTTAGGAGATCGCAGCGTTCATACGGATAGACGGACATGGCAAGATCGATTCTGCTCTTTCATCTTTCGCCGCTGTGAAGTTGCAATTTGGAATATACAAACACTCGTGAATACCCTCGGACTAAACTAAGCTAAGGTTTTTTTTATATATATACACGTATATGAGACCGGATAGTAAGCAGGATATAAATTGAGCATAATGGGACTTCATATGAAATTCGATAAATTCAGTTGAGCGTTTGAAATCGTACCTAAAAGTAAGGAACCCTTACAAATACGAAGTTGTGTGGGATATAGTGATCAAATGTTATGCGTTGTAAAAACTTGTACTAGATGTCACACCTATGAATTGAATTGATTAGTGAAATAACGCAGTCTAAGCGCGGCCATTGCTTAGCCTGCTGTACTTTTGTGTATACAATAAGCGTCGAATTATGATAATAATATTTTTCTAAAATTAAATGTATAAATTTACATTCATTTGAATACCACATATTGTATTGGTGAGTTATTAGATTCCCTAACTTTACTTAATTATTTTCAATATTATATAGCAAATTTTGACAGCAAATTTGTATTTGGTGAAATTTGATATTTCAATTAAATTATTAATTTATCTTGCATCTTGTAAGGAATATTTTGATGTTTTAAAAGATTATTTTCATATTATTTATGTATATATAACTGGGATTTATTTGATTAATATTATAAAAAAAAGTAACTGTACTTTTAGATGCGACAGACATTGTTACATTAATATTATTCATTTCTATTTTGTACATACGCTCTGCTTTCATCCAACATGCAGCATTACAAATTAATGATGTTATGGGCGTACATTTTGAATAAGATAAATTTATTGCATCGCAAACGTTAGCGTTTTCTACTTACATACATTTTGTATTTAGATAAAACTAATTTCCCTTGAAATATTGATTTTAATAACTTTTTATACCGTGAATAAATTTAAAATGTAAGTTCTGTGCTTTTTTAGAATGGAGTGCTAAAATAAAGTTCCTTATCGGGAGCTATTTGCAACCTCTATAAAAATCTAGGTGGCCCAGAATTTAATACGCCTGATGGAGGAAGCTGTGGAGCAGGCGAGTGCTGCCCCTGTCGTAGAACATCAAACGGCGAGCTCGAACGCTGAATTATGTGACGAAAACTGGTTTCTGGTAGTTGATGCTGTTTTGAGAAATACAATTAATCATTTTTTTTTTAAATATTTCAAAGCAATTCACCTGTAAGTTGCGTAAAGTTATCACACCAGCAGCACTAATGATATGTGGAGTCGGTCCATCTCCTAAATCAAGCTGCAAGCTTTCTGACATATCACTACTGTTTACAATAGGACAATTGCTGACATTACTGCTCAAGTAGCTAGATCCACCAGTGCTGAGGTGAAGTTGACCCAATGACGCAGTGGCCATGGCTACATCAGGCATCATATCGGAAAGGTGTCCATTGCTAGCGTCTAAGCCACAAGCATCACTTTCACCGCTTCTGACCAAGTTCAGAGCATTAGTATGTGGAAATCGAAAATCACCCTCTCTAATTAAAGCCGGCAAATCGTTACGATGATGCACTGATGTTGATAGGCGAGCATAGCTTGTTTGAAGGGCCGAACCCGAATTTCCTGTCAAAAGACTTGTGACACCAAGTAGGCTATTTGGCTGCTGACGGGGGAAAGTCATATTTCGACTGTAACATTCATGTACACCATCTGCGCCACACGTAGATGACACTGATGAGGCCATTGATGAAGTCGACAAAAACGAGACGGACACAGCTGTTGGGCGTGTAGAACCGGTAGCTGCCGGTGATGGTGGTGGACTTTGATCTTCATCTTCTAATAGACATTGCTCCGGTTGTATTGCCGATTGGGCACTGTTGCACTCATCTCTGCCACTATTGTTAGTTAATAGAGAAGTTTCGAGCAGATCTGATACTTCATCCGGCAGATTAAACTCTCTCACGACACGAAGTCGTATTTGACGGTCGATTTCATGTTTTGATGAAAGTGGCAGAAGCAGTGCCCTTTGACACATTGGCGATTGGCGGAGCTTATGTTCACGCTTTCTCATTGCTGCAAGCGTATGGCTATCTGGTGGCGGAATAGCAGTAGGATCGATTTTTTCGCTATTATTTCCACTAATACTACAAGTGACACCAGGAGCAAAGCTGTTGTTCGGAGAAGAGTTTATGCGCGAAACCATGTAAAGGGTATCTGGAATGTCGGGAAAATGTCGAGATCGACGCATTCGCATAAGCTCAAGGTGATGATTTGATGATGCCATTCGATCTTCTAATAAGGCTTTTACTTCTTCAAAGTATGGCATAAAAAGACGTGGTCGTACAAAAAGACCTTGGTTTTTCCCTCCCCGTATCCAAGCATTTATTCGTAAATTTTCACGATCGTCACCAATCATATGTGATGGTGGTGTACTTACGAGACCACGGCGTATAGCTTGACAGAGAACTTCACTATTTGGCGGCAAAACATGATCCATTCTTACCAAAGGTAGTAGTTCGGCAAGTATTTCACGCAGCTCAACGTCACTTAAGTCACGCTTTCTTACACCCTTCCTCGCTACAGAGTGGGCAGTATGCGATAAAAGGTTTGGTTCGCGATCCTCCATGCGCCGGATAAGCTCTTGTTCCCCCCACTTTAGAACAGCCTGTAGTACTTCAAGTTCTGATGCTTGTAAAAAGTTACTTTGTAATACATATACCAACTGTGATTTATCTAACTGATTCAACACTGGTGAGGAGCTAATTGCTGAAAATTCTTCGCGTAGGTACTGGCAGGCTTGGCGAAAAACCCAAGCAGACCCATGTGGTTGACATCCCCATTTTAAAACCATTGATAGGGTTTCAAGTGACAACCACTCAAGTATTAAGTCCTCACAACCCTGTGCTAAAATATCAAGTTCTAGAAACCTGCCTATTTGATATAACTCCATCGCTTCCTCGAGAGTAGTTGGTCGAACACGACCAGTATTTGTCAACGCGTGCACTTCACCAAGGGAGCCGGTCGAGCATCCTGTGCCAGCCCCTCGTAGTATGAGCGCCAAGTCTACAGTATCTAAATATATAGCGTGTAGAAGCACACGCGCATATCTTTTTGGTATAACGGTCTCATCAAGAACAATGCGCGTTGGTACGTGTATAGAGCGCTCTACGTACTCGTCAATGTTGCGCGTTCGGCGGGCAATAAGATTTCGGAAAAATGGTGAACGGGCACTCAATATAGCTTTATGACACGGTAGCTCGAGTTTCGGCCGAAACCCGTACTCGGAATTAACCGATTCTTGACGCAAATAATCGTTTCCGCTTTCCGCTGTAAATACGAGTGCTGCGTCCGCATAATCCCCTGTTTCTAACAAATATCGAAGATCATGTTCAAGTGGGTTAGGTGTACCAAAATCGTCACCTAGTTGACGCAACAAATTGATATTAACGGTCGGGTCATGTGCACATAGATCGCCCGTATATAAATAACGTAGCAATATAGAAAATATTTTCACATCGATAGGTGATGTAGGAAGTTCAAGACATATGCGAGCCCCAAATCCAGGGCAACCAGAAAGCAGGTCTCGAAAATATGTACAACGTGAGGATAGTATAGAACGATGCACAGGAAAAATCGATCCACGAAATACAAGATCACAATCAGTACATAGATTTAAATCGTAAAGAGCAGCCAGATCTTGTTTATATGTAGTAGCTGGGGGACGCGCTAATTCGGCTTGCACCTGTTTAACATAAACAATTGTTAATACTGATTAAACATAATAAACGTTCACTTACCGATAAATCCCTTAATGCAGCCAACGCTTCGAACTCCTCACAGAGAGATGCCAGCTCAAGAGGTGTCCACTCAGACACAAAGTCCCGTAAGACTCGCGCATGATCACAGGCTTTTGAAGAACGCCGGCGACGTATAAACTTTCGCTTAAGAGTCGCAAAACCCGTTACTCGCTTTCGCCTCTGATCACGATGACAATGTGTACCGCTACAAGCATAAGTTGTGCCAGAGCCTTCAGTGATACCATTTGAACTAGTTGAGCCCATACTTGCAGTATTTGACACTGCAAATGCATTTCCATTTTCATTGGAAGCACCTTCGATTTCAGTAGTTGTGGCCATTGGGTAACCAACGTTGGACGTGTTTGAACCCATTTCCTTCTTTAAGCCTGGAATTCCTTAATACTCAAATTGATTTAACACATTAACTTGTTTGCGAAATGTAGCTTTTTCTTCATCTTGTCAATTGTGCAAATTGAATCTGCCGAATCTCTGTAAATAAGTAATTATTAGATTGTACTAAAAAAAATTAAAATTGCGAATTTCTGTAAATAAATAATTATCTTAGTGATTGTATTAAAAAAATTAAAATAGCGGTTTAAAAATATATCATGTATATGTCAAAGTTTTGCATATAGAACAGCAAAATGGGACAATTCATATACTGCTTCTCTTTTCAGCTGTGCGAAAGAAGTAAAACTGATGCAGTAGGACTCTATTAGAATAAATAACCTACCTTTAAAAATGCAATTCATCAGACAGACGGATACAGCTAAATGGACTTAGATGAGCACAATACAGTGGTTCACAGCTTATTTCAACCAGCACCTTAAAAAAAGTTTTTTGGGTTATAAAATCTAAACTATTGGGGGTATCCTAAAAATTTAAAAGCAGGTTGTTAGTGTGATGTTTAAACTAATATAAAATCAATTCATTTATTTTTTAAATATTTTTTCAATATTTAATAATGTTTAAAAACGGCTTATTTCAACCACAAACTTTGCAGCTGATGAAAGATCCGTTATTTTGCAATGCAAACGGTAGATTCATGTTCTATGCTTTATTCACTGTTTTCGCAGTGTGATAAAATAATTTTTGCAGAATTTTGAAAGCTGAACTTTCAGAAAAGTGAATTTAGCTAAATGGGACCACGCACACCTATTGAGCAGCGGGAACTTGTTCTCAAACACTATAAAAATGGTCATTCCCGTAGAAAAATTGCTGAGATGGTTGGATTTAGTGATTCTATAGTTCAAAGCATCATATACCGGTTTGTCCGTGAAAATAGAACCCACGATAAAGGCAGAAATGCTCCAAACAAAATTTTTAATCCCACGGACGAGCGCTATATTGTGAGAAAAATCCGGGATAATCCAAGGATATCGGCTCGACAAGTAGCCAATGATGTTAAGGAGGAGTTGGGCAAGTCATGCCACCCAGAAACAATTCGCCGTGTGCTTCGGGAACATGACTTTAATGGCAGAGTACCACGCAAGAAGCCTTTTATAAGCGACAAAAACAAGAAGTGTCGCTTAAAATTTGCCCAGGAGCACTTGCACAAGGACATTGGATTCTGGAATACAGTTTTATTTTGCGATGAGTCCAAATTTAATTTGTTTGGGTCGGATGGGCCCTCATATGTGTGGCGTAAGCCTAACAGAGAGCTTGACGCAAAACATTTGAGGGCTACAGTAAAGCATGACGGAGGCAGTCTTATGGTTTGGGCCTGTATGTCAGCCGCCGGCGTTGGGAACTTAGAGTTCATTGAGACTACGATGGATAAAGGCAAATATCTTGATATTTTGAAGTCCAAAGGAGGACTTCAGATTTTATCAAGATAATGACCCGAAACATACTGCGGGAATTGTCCAGACTTGGCTGATCTGGAAATGTCCGCACGTTATGAAACCACCAGCCCAGTCACCAGATTTAAATGTAATCGAGAATTTGTGGTCGATTTTGGAAAAAAACATTCGCAAACACAATATATCCAACAAATCGGACCTAAAAGCTGCATTGGTTGAGGGATGGGAAAAAATTACTCCAGAAGTCACCAAAAAGTTGGTGGAATCTATCCCAAAAAGACTTAAAATAATAGTTAACCAAAAGGGTGGTCACACTAAGTATTAATTTTTTATTATTTTATGTTATTTTAGTGTTATATAATGTTATTTCATAAGTGGTTGAAATAAGCTGTGGAACTGTTTTGGTCTCAATTTTTAGTTTTTAAACATTATTAAATATTGAAAAAATATTTAAAAAATAAATGAATTGATTTTATATTAGTTTAAACATCACACTAACAACCTGCATTTAAATTTTCGGGATACTCCCAATAGTTTAGATTTTATAGCCCAACAAACTTTTTTTAAGGTGCTGGTTGAAATAAGCTGTGAACCACTGTATGTTCATATACGCAACACTTTTTCTACCTTTTACACATTTTGTTTCCTACATAATTTCTGCACACATCTTCATAATCAAATATTACATTTATCAAAAAGAAAAAATGTATACATATATAATGTGCAAAATTTTGGAGCAGACGAAAAAGCACGCATTTGAATGTACAGTTTGTCAAGGAACTTTTTATACACTGAAAAAAATAATACAATTTTTGACTTTAGGTGCAAAGTTAATGGCCTTTATTTCAAATTTGAAATTTATTTTAATGGTAAGTTGTCTAATAATATTTATTGAATTAAATAATAAAAAAAACTAAAACTAAATGATGCATTATTGAAAAAGCACGCATTTGAATGTACAGTTTGTCAAGGAACTTTTTATACACTGAAAAAAATAATACAATTTTTGACTTTAGGTGCAAAGTTAATGGCCTTTATTTCAAATTTGAAATTTATTTTAATGGTAAGTTGTTTAATAATATTTATTAAATTAAATAATAAAAAAAAACTAAAACTAAATGATGCATTATTATTAGTTAAGGCTTTGCCCATAATCTGGATGGAGCGTTGATACTGTACAGTATTACTATTGTTTCGTTGCAAAATGTGAAGTTTTCCCAATATTTTTCCGGCTGACTAATTATGTTTACAGCTAGATTAAAGCCCTTTTCTACATTTACAAATAAAAGCAGTGTTTTCTTTCGTGCAACTCTTAAAGAGTAGCTGTACCTTATGATGGCGTATGATTGCCGTACTGTACTATTAAACTTGAAACTAATTCTAAAACAGATTTGTCCAACTTGTGATTATAATACATTAATCGGACCTCATCAAAACTTAATCTTTTGCCAGACATTTTAAAAGTTAAAGTTTTTAGATTGGTATTTAACAAAATTTCACAGCCAAATTGTAAAAAATTTTGCAAACAGACAAAATCAAGACACAAAAAGAATAGATAACGGTAAAGCACCGTTATTTCTAACAGTTAGTTCCAAGACTCAATGTGTAAACAGTTTCTTCAGTTTCTTCTTGAAAATTTTAGTTTTTGTTGTTTATTTTATTACGCATTTTAAATCTGCTCTCTTATTTTTATAATCTTATTTAAAACTTATTACTAAACGATAACGCATTAAAAATTTTTCGTTAATTTGAATAAAAGCCTATTAATTTTCACCTAGCCAATAACTCTACTTTTTCGGTGTGTAAAGAGTTATTGAAACTGTATTTGTGCACATGTATATGAAAATTACAAGCACTTGGCGCTGCTTACCATGTGGCTTTACAAATTGGCCAAACATATTTTTAGCTATAATCTACATATTCTATTGGAGTACCTGTCAGCTTAGTAAGAATGCAAACTTTTTAATATATATTGGTCCTCTTTCCAACTGAACTTAAACTTAAAAAATTTGGGAAATTAGGAGCGAGTATCCAAAATACAATAAAAACTAAAGTAGTATAAAATATACAAAAAACTAATTTTGGGAGTTCTAACTCATAAACCGTATAAGATATAATTTAATATAAGCATTTCGATCACGTTTTAATCGATAATAAAAAAAACGATAATTATCGGATTTAGGACAAATAGACGCGTTCACATATACGGAAACTCGGCTTGTTATCCTAATCAAAAAGGGGCTTGCCACTCCCCTTCTCCCTATTACATACATTTTAACAAACCATTATACCCTGATTTCTCACTATCTATGTAAACGCAAGTTGTTAGTTTTGTTTTGTTTTAACTTATAAAATGTTAGCTCCCTTATTTTTTAAATATTTTTCAATTATTTTATTTTTAAGAACTAAAAAATCAAGAAAATAACTATTCCATAATTTATTTCAACCACGTTTACTTACAGTAACAATGCAAAGTGTTTTATTAAAAATAAACATTATGACCACTACCATTTTATGACGTTACTCGACTCCATTCATTTTTGTGGTATATTGTTTTCTAGGCTCGTACACCAACCATTTCAAGACATTCCCGATGACATTTAAACGGCAGTATTATGAGGGCAATTGAAAGATCTCAAGATATGAGGAAATCAGGGTATAATGGTTTTGTGCAAATGTATGTAACAGGCAGAAGTTAGCGTGGCAGACCCCATAAAGTATATTTATTCTTGATCAGGACGACAAGCCGAGTATATTGAGCCATATCCGTCCGTGTGTGCCCGTATGTGTGAACGCGTCGATCTTAGCATCTATAAGAGCTACAGACTTGCAATTTTTTTTTAGGTCCGTGTATGGCACACGCAGGTCAAGTTTGTTTCAAATATTCGATAACTATTCGCATTTAATTGTTATCGAATAAAACCATTATTGAAATGCACTAAATAAATTTTATCTCGAACGTCCTAAGAACTAGAGCCTCCAAATTTTGTATTTAGTTTTATGTATATTTTATGCAATTTTGATTTTTGTTGGATTGTGGATACCGGCTCCAAATTTCCCCAAATTCTTAACGTATAAGTTCAGTTGGAACTAGGGCCATTATGTGAAGGCGTTTGCATCTCAACCAAGCCAATAGGATATGTAGATCATATGCTGAACATTTCATTAAAATCTATTAGGTAAAACAGAAGTTATTAAACAAAACGTTTGGCCAAGTTGCAAAAGCACATGTCAGCAGCACCACGCGCACGCATTTTTCCTATGTGTGTGCACACATACATTCAAATGCGTGTATTCTTTTCTATTCGAAGAATCGAAATTACGATTGAACTGTGCTGAATTATTGGCTGCTACTTCAAACTTGCAACTGCTTTGATAAGCAATGCAGTGGCTGCGTTGGTAGAGGCGGCGGTCGTTAGAGTTTAGTCTCAGGTTCAATCCTCGCGGCGACGATACATTTTTTATTGTTTTATTTTTTTTTTTAATTATGAAGTGGCGGTGTTGGTAGAGTTGGTGCACGTTGCGCAAACAGTTCGGGTTCGAAACCTAGTCTTGCAATGTCGTATATTATTTGTTTTCTTTTTTTGGAACACTCGATACGAATTACGGAAAATATTAAACTCAGAGGATCAGGGTATCTCCTAGTCGGACACTCCGACTAGAGCTTACTAGTTTTATGATCCTTTTATATTTTTTATTTTTATATACGCAGTATTATTAATACGACTTAACTGTAGGGCTTACTCCAATTATTTATTCAAATTGAGAAAAGAGTATAAAAATATTTTCATAATTCATGTTAAATCCGTATTTTGTTATTAAATTAATAGGTAAGTTAAAATCCCGATTAGAAGTGAGCAACTAGTCAACTGCCATCAACTGGAAAGTAGACTATACTTTCGCTATGCAAGTTCAAAAACACACGCACCGGTACACTAACAATATAAAAATATACAAGTACAAAGGAATTTTAAAACATATATTTCCGGAATAATACAATTACATCTAACGCTATATATCAAGGCTGTAAGTATGACTGTCTATATTAGAGAAGTTACTAAACCAAGCGCCAGGCGTACGCATTTTTGTCCATACGTGTGTATATACGTAGGGAAGCTTGCATTCCTTTTTGTACGGAGAAACGCAATTTTAAATCTATTTTCATCAGCTTCTGTAGTTTAGAAGGAACGCCGGATTTTTTATTTTTAATTAGCTTTAATTTTAATTAATTAATTAAATTAATTTTTTTTAAAAATCAAATGACGATGCTGGTAGTAGTGATGAGCATTGCCGAAGAGACGTTGGTCTGAGGCCTGGTGTCCTAATATCGGGGATTTTTCTTTTATTTTTTAATCATTTTTTTTCAAATATGCTATTTGATGGTGAAAGTATTCAATAAAAAAAGTTGCCCGGTGAAATTTGCTAACTTTAATGTTTTATTTCATTATTTGTATATTCTGTCACTATTGGATTTTTTATTTATGTTATACTACCTCAACCCTGTTAATTTTGTATTAATACTTTAAGAGTTTTCTACTACTTTTCACTTTTCCTTTTAATATTGTTATCCAGAGTTCTAGTCTACTGTTTAAAATTATCTTATTAATTCGGGTTTGTACGATATTATGAAAATGGATAAGTATTATTTTCTAAGTTTTATTTTAACAAAAGACGTATATATGGAGTCGTATATAAATAAATATATTCTATAAAATGTTCAACATTTGGCAACTGACGGATATTCATAGCAATAGCTTGGATTCGAATACAAATATATATGATTATTGTATACAATAAAAATAAGGTATCAAAATATCATTACATTTTTAATTGTCATACGAGTAATAAAGGTATTCTTGCCTTACAGGAACGGATATATTTAATAGCCAAAACTACCTAATTGCGAATGTAATAGTAATAGCGGAAAGACGAGAATGAGTGTCGAACTGAACGAACTTTATTGATTTGCCTTTTTGATACTGTCCCTCCTATGGCATGGTACTGGCATAAGATTTTACTTTGGAAAGAGAAAAATTACGTATACATAACATTCAAGTAAAAAGTAAACTCAGTGACTAAGTTGTTTATAGAATAATTTGAAATCTATTGGAGCTAGCATTCTTACTGACTTCATATGTAGTGTTGGTATCAGACCTAATAGACTATGCATATGGTAAATATATTATATTTTTGTATGTATAGTATATATTTAAAAAAAATTAATTTACATGAAACTAAAGCTAAATGTATACTCTACTTCCAAACACGTATGAGATATAGTTTAATAAGTCAAGTTTGATATTATTTGAAACAATTAAGATCTGCGTTCTATACAGGGATAACAGTCTTCAGCTTTTATATATTCTAAGATCGATGCGTCCATACATACAAACACGGCTAAACCGAGTCAGTTCGTCGTCCTGGGTAACAATTATATATTGTACTTTATACTTTATGGGGTCTTCCACGCCTCCTGTCTGTTAATACACTATGTTATATTATGAGACTACTACCAAATAAACAGCATTTGTCCACTTAAAAAAAAGTATGACGATCAAGCATATATATATATATTTAACTTAATATATATGAAACTAATGCAAAATGTATACTCTATTTTCAAATTTAATTTAGTAACGTAAGTTCTATGACGTTTTTAAGTGATAACATTAAAACGGGAATAATTATTATATATGCTAAGATCATACTAACAGGGTTAAATCAACTCAGTTCGTCGTTCTGATTTAGAATATATATATAATTTATGGGTAATTTAACAGTAACCAAATGACTATCTAGACGGAGTATTGATATATAGTCTCGGGTTTATAGCCAACAAGGTCTTTGATCTATTTTCTTCCATTGGTTCCCGTAGAACCGCAATTTTTAATATATTTGAATTTTTACGATAGCAACTGTGTTACACGTTTTTTTTTTATCAAAATAAATGGTTTCAGGGTATAAAAATTGAAGCGTATTACTTTTACTGATTTTCTTTACAAGAGCTTAACAGGGTATTAATTATATGCCTAATTTTAACACATAACTTAACTGACCCAGTTTTTTTTAAATGACCGATAACTTCTGTTTACATATCGAATCTATTTAGAGATAGCCAACACATTTTCAATTTATTTTCTAGTATAGTATATCAATCAAGTTAACAATTAGCAATACCATGCATAAATTAGCAATAAGCTAGATATATTCTCTACATTTCGCATTTATGGTAGTTGCTACTCTAATTTTGCGTTTTCCGCTTTCATATCAAATTTTGCGGTGATGGTATCGGAAGAGAACGAAAACGGTGTCTAATTTCCCTTAGTCACTCATTAAAAAAAAAAAAAAAAAAAAAAAAAACAAATTATATTTTGTACGATAATTTATTTTTAACTTCTTAACACGCAATTTCAAGCCTGAAGATGTATCTATTTTATCTATTATGTGATTAGGTGCATACACCTAGGTGTACTTGCATTTATTTAAATTTTAGTGTTATTGTATACATGTGTACATAGCTAATAATTGAAACAGCAGTGTAATTTGGATTCACGATTTCTTCAGGCGAGATCACTTTCACTTGTTTTAAAACTAATACATTTTTCACCAACACCTATACTTTATAAATTTTAATGAGTAATGAGTAAAGCAATGCCGAATGTATTAAATTACCTTGACCTACATTGCCAAGTTCACACAATAGTTTATATCTTTGATTTAAAAAATAAAATTTTCTCATGAACTTTTAGTATACTTATGTACACACATACAGAAATATATGTGTATGTACATAATGAATTAATTGAATGCATACACATGATCTTGTATGTTTATAACACATATTTATCATTAGTTTGCATATTGAAACATATTTTCGATTATTTTTATACATGTATTTAGTGAGATAATAGTGATATACAAAAAATAAAACCAATGTACTTTTAAACATGTGTTTATTAGTACAAACTTTAATATATTAGTGCAGACTGAAGTCTATATAAGGTTTGTATAATATAATAAACATTGTAAAGTATTATTACTCACTTGAATTATACATGTTTACACTCTTCACTATCATTTTGATGCAGTTTTACCGCACAGAACGTATGCCAATTTTTTCACATTAGCTAACGAGAACTTATCGTTGTAACTGAATAATTTTTTTTTTGCAACATTAAATAATTATCAGTACTATTTTCTGTTAATCAGTTTACCCATTGATAATGTTTATAAAAATTTGAAAACTATGCATCTAGCTTTATAAGACAAAATTAAGTTTTCACGAGACCGAGGGTAGAGATGTGATAAAATAATATCGGAAATACACTCGATAGTAATATTGTACGCACTATCGGTAATACGCGGAGTTTCCACTTCGTTTTTGACAGCATTCCTTTGGATTCCACTTTAAAGCTTATACTTTTTTATTTTCGTCGGGAATGAAAAGGTACGTAAAATGTTCGGCGTCAGTCTTTTTCCTGTTGAAAAATTTGAGGTCGCCTGCTTGAATGATATGGCTTTTAAATGAAAGTAATGAAGATATTAGGCATACCGGATGTATTATCGCAAAAGTAAGCTACCAATTTTTTTTCTGTTATATTTGAGACATCACTAGCCATGCAACATATTTGTCTTAACACAAATACTCAACTTCGTATTTGGTTGGTCCCCTTACTTGTGTGCAATGGTGAAGCGCAATGTTACCAAATCTTGGGTTGTATAAGCCAGAATGACTACTTTAAACAGCTAAACAAAAATTTTAAAACGTTTAATATAAAGTTTTATCTAGATTATTTGATCAAGATATAATTATCCAGAATTGTCATGAATTTGTCCAACATATATATATATATATATATATATATATATATATATATATATATATATATATATATATATATATATATATATATATATATATATATATATATATATATATATATATGAAACTTTGAAAACTGTTAGAAATAGGTAGCAAACTATGTGCGACTTGTTAAGAAAACGTCAATGTGTAACATATGTGAAGTGTGCAATACAGCAAACGTAAGGTGTAGGTGATCGATGAATATATTGATGTCCCATAGTGGTAATGACAGAGCTGAAGCAAGGCCCACACAATTCATTTAAGTCCTTGTATCAATAGTATGCAAATTATGACACAATTTATACAAAACAAGGAACAGCGATCTAGTTGAGACTACTCGAGAAGGAGACCTTAAAAAATGCGAGAAAAAAGAGGTGATATACCAATTATTTTACGTTTCTATATAATAAATCAAACTTGCATGCACACACATGCACATCTGCTTATTATTATATTAGGTTAAATTTACAACTCAACTTTAATTACCTATATACATACACATACATTTTTGCAGAATCAGTATATCTTAAAAAAATCTATTTCATCTAACACCAGATGTGTAGTAGCGGTTCATAAGCTTAAAGCTGTGTTGGCTCATAACGGGCGGCCGGGCTTAGGACTTCAACACCCTTACAGCTTATCAACCGATGATATTTGTGGTTTCGGATAGTTACCCGAATTCATAAGAAAACGCTGGAAATGTTTATGGACAACCATTAGTGAATATAGTTTAAAAAAAACGATAACAATAATAAAAAACAATTCATTGCTGATATCTTGCCAAGGTATGTATCAAGCTTATTAATGAATTAAAATGTAATTAAAGACAATTGAACCGCTCTTTTCTAAAAAAAATAAATTATTTAGCTTTTGTTTGCAAACGATATAAAACGTATTAAACGTATTAGTGCAAAACGATGAGTATATAAGTTTATTACTTGTTAATTAAAACAAGTAAAAAAGAAATTTCGATTTCGCAGGCTTGTTCTTTAAGAAAGCGTGTTCTTTTATGTCTTTTATGTCTAATATGCTACTTATCAACTTAAATGAAATGTATCCCTACCATGCTGTGGGTTAACGGCAGCAACAGTGCAAAGCCTGTCCATATTCTTCTTCGAATTTGAGAGTTGCTGGTTAGCGAGGTCAGCATTTTGATGCATTTCTGGTCGGACGATGTAATGTGACTTGTTGGTCTTGCTCAACTTTATGTGAATTTATTAGTTGCTAACTTTTTCTCCTCCAATTTACACTTGTCCTCTAGTGAATTTGTAAAAGAATGGTATACTTATAAATAAGAGGTTTTGATTCTCGAGTCTTTGCATATTGATCAGCCTAGCATTGTTTTTAGTGCAAGTCTCTTTCTGGTTAAGTTGTAGGATAACCTTTCTTCCCATTTTCCTTATCATCAAGTGTAGTAAGATGCTGATGAGGATAGCGGTTATAAAAAGAGAGACAAGTGCTATTCTATTGATTGTTGAGTGCACCTGGATCTTTTGCATGACTTTGCTATTGTTAACATGAAATTCTTCGAGTGCCTCCAATGAGGGAATTCTTATACGTTCGCTCTCCATCGGTGTTACATGTATTATCGGACGTCCAGGTTTCATTATCGAAATCTCAATATTACTGATTGTTTTCCTGTTGAGAACTTTTGTCTCGTTCAAAAAGCTTAACAACTACGTGTCTCTTAATTTTTTACTTCTTTCTGCCATTCTATGGTTCCGTTAAAGCCGTTTAGTAGGATTAGTCCCTCGTCGATTTCTTCTAGTTCCGGGACGTGGTCTGCATTGCTAAAGACGCACATTGCTTGTTCTCTCCTGATTATCTTAGGAATGCAACTATCTATAGTTAAACTGAAAATTGCTGTCTTATCGCAAATTGGTATTTTATTGTAGTTCTTACATTGAAATATTTTGTTATATTCGAGATTAATAATACTATTGTTTTTTATTACGGGTTTCAGAATTGAATTTTTACAATCTATTTCTTCTAAGTTGGAACAAAAGTGTAGTTCCATTATCCAAAATGGGAACATCTGCGTATTCTAACATTTCTTCGGTATTTAATGGTGGCATGTTACTTTTTTTAAATTTATTACTAATTATTTGTATTTCTTTTTTCTCAGTAAAAATGTATTTATTAGTTTTAATTTCGCCCACTGTATGGCATATTTAATGTTAATTATTTCTTCCTTTATCAGCCTGATTTGGTTTTGGAAGCTAACGGCTAATTCGTCTCCAACAAGTGAATCTTCTTTATGCTATTAGCTTGATCGTTAGAAAGTTTTGTCAATCTATTGATTCTTACTTCCAGTTGTTTATTTATTGTTAATTGTTGGTCGTTGTTATCTATCAGTTTATTTATGTTGTCCGATAGCATAACTAGGTCGTCATTATCCGGGGTACCTGCTAGATATTTCCATGCTGTGCCTAACATATTGATTGCTCTAGTATGACGTTTCTGGAATTCTACTATTGTGCTAAATGTAAACATTGTCTGTGCTCTTTCATGGTGTAAAGTGTGGTATAAAGGGTTTGCTTTAAGATCTTGTTCTGTGAGGAGCGAGAGGGTGTCTAATGCTTCTATAATTTGCGTTAATTCTATAACCTGTACTATTCGTGTTGTTGTTCCTATTTCTTTTATTTTGTTAACAGTTTGCGCATCGGTGTAGTTTGATATGGCTATGTGCCCTTCAGTCAGTGTTACTGTCATCGTGAAAATTAGCCTGTAAAAGTTTTAGATTTTTTATATTGCTCCTGTGTATTGTTTTTCCGTTGTTGTTAGTAAAGTTGTATTTTTGTCATTTTTAACTATTTATTTTCTGTATCTAGGTGAGAATTTTGTTCCTAGTCTGTTATTGATTTTGACATATGTTTCTTCACCTGGTGTGTAAGTGCGTATTTCGTTGCGTTTTTTACTATGGTTCTGTAAGCCCGTTGTTTGTTTTTGTCTTAGTTTGTCAATGTTCTCCTGCCTAGATTTTTCATATTGTTCTGGATTTGTTGTTAAATTTCTAAAAAAAAAAAAAAAACAAATTTAATGGTCGCTTATTAGTTGTTGAATGAATACTGTAATTATAATCGTAGATTGATTTGTCATAAAGTCTGAAAGTGTAGAGTGAAATCGTTCTTGTCCGTTAACTGCGCTTTTGTAAAGTGGAGTCTTGTAGATTTCAATCCCTAATTGGTCCCGCGTCATGAACGTTATGGACCCTGAGTTCAGTGATTTTTCTTTATCTACAACTACAACTTTTGGGACCCCATAGTAAAATAAAATATCGTGCAGTGGCTTTTTTGTGTCCTCTATTGCTCTACGTTTACTAATTCGTCCTTCGGCTAGTTTGGAAAACTTATCTATTGCTTTCAGAACTAAGTTCTCTTCTGTCGTGTGTATGTTGATGTGAATTATGTGTCCAGGATATTGGGGTATGGGTGTTTTATGTATCTGTGTGTTTCATGTCTGTCGTATTTTTCTTCCTTACAAATTTGACATAGCTTGACCAATGATGTTATTTTCTATTGCATCCTAGGAATGGAATGGATTTCTGCCAACTGTTTTTCAAGTGCTTTGCAGTGAGCTCCGAAGTTTTAGAATCTGTTCGTCCTGTTCTGTTTCGTTAGACAAGTCATTTTCTTGTCTCTGTGTGAATCTTACTTTTAAGTATCTGAAGTGCTTGGGATATTTATTATTCCGTTAATTTCAGAATGGTGTAGGTATTTTGTTAATATCTCTATTAGATTATGTTTCGTGAACTCTTGTCTGGTTATGAGATGTCTATGGAAAGTTGGGAAAGGAATTTGCAATTTATAATTGGTTAACGTAACCTTTGTCTATGCATAGTTGGTTGTTGAATGCATTCATCGGAGCTTTGATACTGGGTATTAAGTTATGGTTTCAGCTTTTTGTACTATGCTGAGTAGATGTATGTGGTTTGCTGTTGATAATGCTCCCGCTACTGTATTATCCCTGCCTGGTTTGTAAAGAAGTTCATAGTCGAATTCCACTAGGTACGCCTTCCATCTTTTAATTCGAGCGTTGCCATTCCATCTACTAAGTGAATGTGTAAGTGGTTGATGATCGGTGTATATTTTTACTTTTGTATTACCGTAAAGGTAATATTTGAGAGCTTTTAGCGCCCAGACAATTGCCAACATTTCTTTTTCGTTAGTGGCATAATTTTCTTCTGGGTCGTTTATTCTGAGATAGGACTGCTCCAATTGCGAAGGTGGATGTGTTCGTTGTTATTGAAATTCTTTATTAAAGTCTGGGTATTGTAGGACGACTTCCTTAGAGCCTAGAGCGTTTTTTATTTTGTTAAAAGAATCTATGGCTTCTTGGTTAAGACTGACTATTTTTTTTGAAGATTGATTTTTGGACACTCGTCCAACTTCCCCTCGTAAAAGAG